TAAGAAATTACACTGGCATAGACCCCAGATAGAAAAGATTTCAGAAACGCTTTTTCATGCCGCGTCAATGGGTCAGTGATATAGCGGATGTCTCGACCTGCGCAAGTAGTGGTTACACATGGCTGGGGTATAGTGATTTGAAGACTTGTTCAAGCAGGAGCCCATTAATATCACAGAAAGTCCACAAGAAAAGACAAGTTGATCATTTGTTTGTCTGCGTTTGCAATTCTTGGAAACAGTGATGAAATCAAGAGCTGAATTGCTGCACTGCCAGCAAAGACAAGACAAAAACCGTCTTCTGTTTGAGAGCGTGCACGGCACAAGGCAACTTTTTCTTTGCAACGCGACATGTCCCAGCGAGATGAATGATTTTGCATCGTGGGGGAAATCAAAACTACTTACATTAAAATGCCTCATCTTTGCCAGGCCATCTTCAAAGCTGTCCATGGGCCATTGGAGAGACCAAACTTTTGTTGAGCCACCCTGCGGGACGGAAAGCGGAAAGCCGTGTTTCCTGGCCCATGTGATGATTCGACGTTTTTTTGCCTCAAGACGATCAGCAGTCGTGCCATTCCCGGCACAGACTTTCCCACCTCGTTGAGCACCTCTCCGTCTGATGTCTGCAAGTTTCCGTTTGTTGATTTTCTGGAATCCTCGATCTTTTGCAAGTAGCATAGGTTGCGAACTAGTAGAGCTTGCGCAAGCAAGATCCCAATTAAGGAATTTGCATGTAGTAGAGGCATGCTGTCTTGATTGCAAAAGTAATGACGGCCGCTATGTATAACAAGCGCCGCATTTTTTCTCAAGCAAGCATTCTGTACTGCTTGGAGCATGTTATCAGAAGTTTTGCCCATGCGACAGTGATGCAACAAAAGATCACCGTGTATTTTGTTGACTACATAGGCATGTGCTAAGATGTTGCGTTCTGCAACACATAGCTTGAAACCATCTGAAAGTTTTTTAAACCGTCCGTCGCAAGGAATGCGGAGCCCGTCCACAGTTGCGGGAACCTAGTTGAAGAACAATCCAATCTTTCACCATGGCACGTTGAGCTTCTGTCATGATTTCTCGAACAAGTACTGCATCATCTGCCCACACATCGTCTTCCAAAACCATGTAGCAGTGTGCCCGAGGTAAAGATTGTCCGAGCTGCAAGGCTTTCCTGAGCACTCCGCGTCTGGCATGAAAGACAAACGACATGGAATCACTTGTAAGCATGCGAAAGCATTGTACGTGGCAACCAGTTGGAATGTTTGCGCGCTAGTGACAGCATGTGTCATCATGTTGTTTAGACACGAACTTCGTGAACAAACAAGTGCCGCTGTATGCGCTGCATGTGCATTTCTTGTCTCAGCGTTTGTTTGCTGTGGCACAAGCCACATGCCTTTGTCGCCAAGACACTCATGGCTCATGGAGCATGCCATCATGCCCCAAGCAGCAGTCTGTCCTTTCTGAAAGCTATTTCCGAGATTAAATGTTCTTTCGGCCCGGCCATCTTCTGTATTCCAGCAAAACCTCACTCGGCCACCGCCAATATGACGAGCTCGGCCTTGACTCTGCCTCAATTTCTCTCCATCCACGGCATCAATCCAGATTGTTTGGAGTTTCAAATCATCAAGAAATGCTTGCAGTTCGCGGCGGCGATGAGTGTGGTGAGCTAGATTTATGACGATGACGGGCAATGCCATGCAGGAAAAAACATGCCCACACAAGGCAAACAAATTCTAGACGCAGTATGTGACTTTTTCTTGTCAGGCTGCCACAACCGAACTTCGATGGTCAAAGTTTTCAAAAGTGTGTGTAAGCATGTCAGCATCTCATGGCATTCAAGTAGTGCTGTGAGAATGTAGAATGTCCGTCTTGACGGAAAAAACATAGCGCATCTAGTAAACCGAGACGTCGGAATGAGCAAACAGTTGTATCCATTGGAATTTCGGTTGGAAAACTGTTTGTTGAAAGACTTGTGTCAATTCATGTGTATGTTTAGAAATGGCATCAAATTTGCTTGGCTGGTATTTGCTGACATGGCATGTCTTTTTGCTGCAACGCGCCATGTGCTGTCCGAAGAGGATAGTCGTAACCAGCGAAATTCATTTTATGCACATTCAGCAGGCGTCTTCACAACTCAAGTGGCAAACCCAACGCTTCTCTATATTTTCGAGCTTTTTCAATTGTTTTTTCCAGCTTGTCGCCAAAGTACAAAGCAAAACCTTGAAGCAAACTTGGTGGAGGCCCCCCCTCGATGAGTCCACGAATGGCATCTGTGAGCCCCAAGGACTTGAGCTTTGACAAACAACGGACTCGGCTTAGAGCTACATACACGATCAACACAGAAGAAGTACTGTCTTGGAGTGATCCCCAGCTGACAATCTATCGGACACATATTCTGGCATCATGCTTGACCTAGATTCCGACCTTTTATTTAAGATTATTCTGGCATATAATCTTCTAGAGGCAACATTCCCATATTCAGAAAATCTTCGCATACCATGTTTTCATCGTACTCCAGACCTGGGTTTTGGTATGTTACTTTGATAGGCATTTCAGCTCAATCTGGAGGGAACAGTTGGGCCACGGCGAATCCACTGAATGCCCCTCCACAGCTTTCTATCCCCTATGTCGTTCCAAAGCAGCTGTGGACGTTGAATGAATTGAAGGCTGCTTTGATAAGGAAGTTTCTTCATTTGTCTACCGAAGAAGGACAGGGTTGTCAAGGGTAACGTTTTTAAAGGTTGGCTGAGTAAAAATTAGAAAGTTTCTTCCCCGGGGCCTCACCCAAGGTGAACTCGGAAAAATAGAACCCACTGGTGTGCCCCTGGAAGTTTGGGCTGGCTTTGGGATTGGAATTTTGGTTCTGGCCCCGAAATTTCCCTATGTGGTCTCTATACCAGCCACGCATACTCGGAATTCTTCGCATTCCACAAATTCTTCGCACTCCAGCGAGGGCATCGCACTCCACAGCTAGGGACGTGCACATGCTATAATATCCACGCACTCTGCAAGATCTTCGCACTCCATAAAATCTTCGTACTCGGTGATTTTTCGTTTTTTGTGTTTTTTTTTTTAGTTTTTTTTTAGCTAAAATCGCCTGGAATCACGTTTTTTGGAATATGGGCAAGGTAGCGGTTTCGCGTGAGACGTCTGTAGTTTCACATACTATCGCATTCCAGGCCATTTTGGCCAAAAATGACCAAACAAAAAAAAAAGAAAAAAAAGATCAGCAGGGTGAAATGTGATAATTTTCTGGTATATGATGGAAAAAACTGGTGTTGGATCCATGGGGAAGGTCGAAGGGGGCCACGCATACTGTTTTATTTTCGCATTCCAGAAAATTAGCGCACTCCAGGGGTGGCATCGTACTCTATCGGTGGAATTAGTTTGCACGGAAGAAAACAGGATCGTCGATGATTTGTGTTCTGAGATCCTGTTGTGCAGGGCTCTTTGCGGGGCCACAAAGATGTCAAGAAAGATGGGGATGGCGCTGCTGGTGAAATGCCAGCCAAGCGTGCCAGAACATAAGCTTAAAGCTTATGAATTGGGTTTTGAGATCCTGAAAAGTGTAGATGACAAATTCCCATAAGAACATTATTAATCCATTTTTGGAAAGCTCAACATTATTAATTATGACATTTCCAGAAATTGTTGAAAGTAAGGATCTTCTTTGCGGAAGAACATGTGCAGTCGACAACGTACGTGCCAGAAGATAAGGAGTACTTGGCAAACTGTATGAAATACAAATTTCACCTGAAAGGGGTCTTCGCAATTCCCTCAAATTTCCCAGCTATTTTGGCATGGAATATGTTCGGCCCTGGAATATGGGCAAGAAATTGCTAGAAATCTGGCTTGCTGGATGATTTTTTATCTGACACTCTATTCTGGCATTCTATCTGACATTTCATCTGACATCCTATCTGGCACCCTATCTGGCATTCTGTCTGACATTACTTCCCACATTCCATCTCGCAATGTATCTGGCATTCTGGCTGACATTTGTTTTGACATGCTATGTGGCATTCTGGCATTCTGTTGGACATTTTATTTGACATACATTCCGACGTTTTATCTGACTTTGAGTTTGACATTCTTTCTATAGCATCTCATCAGGCATTCTATCTGACATTTTCCCTCGCATTGTGTTGGGGTCCGAAAAGCTGGCGAGCTCGGGATAGAGTGGCTGTGTAGAAAGAACTGACGGGGAAGCTGGAGAGAGTCTGCTGGCAGAATTCTGAGGAAGGAAGGAAGGAAGGTGCAGTAGGCGGATGCGGCAATTGTAGCTCTCATCGAGCTCAAGCAGGCGGAACGCCGACATCTGGTTGGTTTTCTAGGGATTCTCGGCTTGTAGATCCCAATTTAGTTTTTAAAGTTCATTGTAATCATCAACCAACCATCATTTATCAAGTATCTCCCAAATCTGAGTGGTCAAACATACCTACAAACCATGGTGAGCAACTGCATCCTTTCCAAGCGCCAAAACATGCCATTTAGCCGGAAATGGTCATCAGCCGTTTCTTCTACACCTTCTTCCTGATCCCCACCTGCGTCCTCAGCATTTTCTTGGATCCAGCAACTTTTCCTACACCTTCAGGAGTAATATTTTCTGGACCTTCATGAGCAGCACCATTCTCAAAGGCTAGAAGTCCCGCAGTTGACACAGCCAGCCCCACATGCCAAAACAATTGTAAACCACAATGGCTGACCCTGCTAGGATGGAACCATGTACTACCCATGCAGAGACGTAGAAATTCATCCACCAACCGAAGTTTTTCATAGTGCTCAACTATCACTAAATCCCATAGAATATGTCCGTGAAATCCCACGAAATCCCAATGAAATCACTATTAAATCCCTGTTAAACCCCATGAAATCCCTATTCAATCCTTATTCAATCCTATTAAACCACCATTAAATCACCAAATTTTTCTTGTTTGACTCACCACCTGGGCGTGTTTTTCGGACGTCGACGCTGTCCGTCCCACCGCACAGTTTTGGGCGTCCCGGACGGCGCCGGAGTTTCCGATGGAGACCAAGGTGTGGCCGCCTTCATGGTACCTCTATGGAGTCTGGAGAATCAATAGCTATGGATTATTTATTTATATATATATATAGTATGGCTATATATATATATATCTATACACACATACATACATACATACATACATATATATATATATCCCTATGAATCAGCATCTTCCTATGGTAATCCATTGAATATAGCATTAAATATCCCCATTGTTGGTTAATCCTTATTAGGTCATTGCACAGTCGCACCATGATTAAGTCATTAAAATATCATTATTATTGGTTGTTGGCTAGACACCCATTTAGGTAACATTACTAATATAATGATCCCATATGAATAATGGATATTCTTGATGTATATTACTAAGAATCCCAAAAGATTTATTATTTTATTGTTGGTTATTAACCATTACTGGTTGGTGGTTGGCCTACCTCTCTGAAAAATATGCCCGTCAGTTGGGATGATTATTCCCAAACGATGGAAAAGTAAAATCCATGTTCCAAACCACCGACCAGCTTATTCATGTGGATAAACCATATTCATGGATAAATAAACCGTAGTTATTATGGATAAACCACATATTCATGGTACCTCCATTGATGTATTATTTTATGTGGATAAACCATAGTATGATATAGATAACCATAGCTATTTTATTGGATAATCGTTCTGACCATTATGAATGATGGGTTAAAACCATTTATATTCAATAAAACCCATTTATAAGCATTATGATTGGTAAACGTAGCACCTAAAAACAACGGTGATGACTGGGGGATGGTTTATGGCATCGTAATGGAACATATTCAATAATAGTTGTCCTTGATATGGATTTATGGATTACATTATGTTTATACTTGTTTTTATATTTCAGGGATAGTTAGGGAGTACAGTATAGAACTGTATAGACTAAATCAATGTCTGCAGAAGAACTCTTTGAGGATTGTAAATCCATGGGCAATTAAATGGATTATACATTATTCTGGAATTTTCTGGCTTATAACAATTTCAGGATTATATTCAATAAAAATTGTTATCCATAGTTCACAGCTATTTGAGGATTGGAATTCGATAGTGGTCATAATCATACTGTGTCCATATTGGTGGAACGTTACATGTTTGGTGGGAACCCCAAGCTGGGTGGATAAGTGACTTTTATCCACCTAAAATGGAGACGTCAGCAAGAACAATGGAGATCTATAGCTGATTTTTGAATATTCATGATAGCTAAGTGCCTCTATTTCACTAGGTGAATTCTATGATTTATGGTAGACATCTCTATAATTGTGTCTAAACATACTTTTAACTGGGGTCACCAGCTTGCAAGAAACCACGGCTCTCAAGCCTGAAGATTAGGGATTTCTCTTGTGTTCCTCTTGTGTTCCTCTTTTCTCTTCCAACTCTATGACATGATGTCGGCGGAGATTTACACCTCCAGTTTTAATGGATTCATCCACGCATTAACACCCATCATCCATCAACTATAATGCTATAGGGCTGCAAGGCTGCAAGGCTATCAGGCTATCATCATCCTCATCATCACCATCATCATCACCATCATCATTACCATCATCATTACCATCATCATCATCATCATCATCATCAATGTCAATGCTGTTTCCAGGTTTTCATGATTTAACAAAACATTAGAGTCTACTTCTCTCCTGGCTGTTGATGGTACCCCTGTACGAATCAACCGGTGGTCAAAGGACAGCTCCACCTCAGAGTTGGACGATTTAGGCCGGTTATGGTCGGCTAAGGCCGTAGGCTTTCCCGTAATGTGGGTGAAACAATGTCATGCTTACCATCCCCCAGTCATCATTATTTTTATAGGTGCTATAAACCATTCCCAAATGGGTGGTTTATCATTGTTTCATCCAAATTAGTTTCCTTCAACCAACCCAATGAAAAATCTTTCTTTTGAGGTATCTCACGTATATCACCAAGTATTGCATCTGGCGCACGCAGTGAGTTTCTTCTCCTGCTCACTCATGGGATTTCTCCGTTCAAGACCTTGAAGCGTTGGGGAAAAAACCCAGCGGCAATCATTGGGAGATTATCTGGTTGGTGGTTGACCTACCCCTCTGAAAAATATGACTCGTCAGTTGGGATGAAAACATGTTCCCAACTGAATGGAACAAATAAAATTCATGTTCCACACCACCAACCAGTTATCCATGGCAAACTGAGATAACAGATACTCAGATACTCCCAGTAACCAGTCCCAAATGGGACTGCTTCCACCAAGTACACAAAAACGCATGGGTGGGGTGGGTCAATACACAGAATGCCGTGTTTTCACGGGAACATCATCCAGGGCCCCACATCTTGGGCTTGGCTGGTTGGTATATCTGGATGGGGCACCGATTTTCCTTACCATGGCATGCCCTCAATACAATTAGCCATCAACCATTATCCCATTCATTCTCCAATTTCTGTAATATGGCTAAAGGGCGCAAAATGATGGAAAATGGCTAAAGCACATTTCTGGTTGCTGGTATGCCTACCCGTCTGAAAAATATGAGTTCGTCAGTTGGGATGATGACGTTCCCACCTGAATGGAACAATAATACATTCATGTCCCAAACCACCAAGCAGATTATTTATGTGGATAAACCATATTCATGGATAAACAACCATAGTTATTGTGGATAAACCACATATTCATGGTACCTCCATATTTAGGTGGAAAATGGCTAAAGCACATTTCGACCTTTCGCCAACTCACCTGGCTTAGTTGGTGCTGTCGTTCGCAGCTTCTGGAGTCGGCAAAGGGATGGTCAACCCCAGCTACGTAGGTCTTGACATTTTAGCCTCTGGTTACCCTCTGGTAAACTAACAGTTTGCTATTGAAAATGGCCATAGAAATAGTTGATTTACCCATAAATCATGGTGATTTTACATAGTTGTGTTAATTTACCAGAGGGTATTTGTTACAGTTTGCTATGGTATAGATGACCCATTTGTAGATGATGTACCTATGAACATGATTTAAAATGTTGATTTTCCATGGCCATGTTAAATAACCAAAGGCTATTTTATCCCAAACCATTCGTTTCGAATTTCCCCCTCATCCTGGGCGTCCCCGAAAGCGTGAAGCCGCTGAGGCTCCGGCCGACGACGACTCGATCAAAAGCTTCTTCCAGATACTTCGTTGGGATCTACGGGGCCGCGGAAGAACAGGTCGATTTTGAACACCAACCAGTGATGTGTTTCTTTGCCGTAAGAAATATGGTTATTATATGTTTATACTGTTAATAATGGTTAATATATGGTTTTGATATGGTTAATGACGGTTAATAATAACCTGGTTGGTGGTTTTAACCATCTTGAAAAATATGAAAGTCAATGGGAAGGATGACATCCCATATATGAAATGGAAAATAAACAATGTTTGAAACCACCAACCAGTGATGTGTTTCTTTGCCGTAACAAAGAACAAACACGCGCGGATAGAAAAGCACGGGAATTCTTTGAAAGAAACTCATAGAAACTATAAAACTTGGGTAGTTACGCCAAGATCCAAATGGATATTTGAAACAATGTGCGTGATTAAAATAGGGGACTTCACCAATTTCAGATTCGCTGGGGTGATCTCGGCGGATTCGGGAGGAGAGAAATAGGGAGGGGTGACGAAACGAAGTGAAAGAAACAGATGGAAGTCACTGATTTTCACTCTTTTTGGGTGTATCTTGTAAAAAAAATGCTCGATATTTGGATCGATAACTAAGTTATCTTTCCTTGGAGCACATGTCAAGCATCAAGCTGTCAGTGGAATATTCATTTGTCAGCCAGTTGGTTGGGGATTCCCAATGGTAATTTCCAATAAACCAATTGCTGGTTGGTGGTTGACCTACCCCTCTGAAAAACATGAGTTCGTCAGTTGGGATGTTTACTTTTCGCAACTGAATGGAAAGTCATAAAATTCCATGGTTTCAATCCACCAAGCAGCAGGGTATATATTAATATATGATCAACCGACATTGGGGATTATGATCGCCTACACCCAACCACTAATATACCCAACCACATACTATTCAGTTAGCAGAACCCCCTAGAAATAAGGAATCAACCATGGTCTTGGTCATTGCTCAACCTTGATCTTGTCAGTTTCGCGACATCTACCGAGGAGCTGACCCGATGAAGACTATGTTTTTTTTGATGCCCATGCTGGTAGCAGCCTCCAAAAATGGATTAAGATGTAAATCCACAAAGAAACCTCGGAAAACGAATAGGAACATCATCTTCACCCAATTTTCAGGCTTCCACGTTAGCTTTAGTGGGTGTACCCACGGGGCAAACATTACAATCATCCACAAAAACACATTCATGTGGGTATGGTCAACAAGTTGGGCAGCTCAACTTAAGTGGCAGGTTCATACCACACTTTTTCACCAAATCTGCGGTCCGTTGGCTTTTACATTTTGGCCCATAGGAAAGATACACCAACATTTGGCTTCAACGGCCATTTTTCACGGGAAAAAAAAACATCGCATGCTGGATACACACAACACATCATATTGGATATACCAAGAAATTCCACATCTCTACATCAAGCCAGCCATAATCTAGTCTTGATTGGCGACATATCTCAATTCTTGCCACCTTCAACTGCAATTTTTGTCACTCATTTCCATTATCTCCTGCTATATTAACACAGTATGTCCAAAATCATTTCCAACTATATCTCCATTGTTCCATGATATTTCCCAAATTATTTCCCAAATAATTTCCAATTATATTTCTATTCTTCCATTATATTTTCCGAATTATTTCCCAATTGATTTATTTCCCACATGATTTCCAATTCTATCTCCGTTCTTCCATGATATTTCCCAAATTATTTCCCAATTTTTTAAACGAAATGATTTCCAATTATATCTCCATTCTTCCATGATATTTCTCAAATTACTTCCCAATTTATCTCCCAAATGATTTCCAATCATATTATCTCCATTTTCCATGATATTCCACAAATTATTTCCTATGATTTCCAATTATATCTCCATTTTTCCATGATATTTCTCAAATTACTTCCCAATTTATTTCCCAAATGATTTCCAATCATATTATCTCCATTTTTCCATGATATTCCCCAAATTATTTCCTATGATTTCCAATTATATCTCCATTTTTCCATGATATTTCCCAAATTATTTCCCAAATTATTTCCCAAATTGTTCCCCATATAAACAAAGCTATGGTTTTGCAGCTTTCCCCAACCAGAAACGAAGCCTGCACCGCCCTGCTTTACTGAGTCGGCGCACGCAGCGGAGGTTCTCGGCGGAGGAGCGTACGGCGGCGATGTTGAGGATGTTGGCCAAATCGGCGCCTGGCACCATGGAGAGTGAAACCCCCCTAGAAGTGGTAAATCTATGTGATATATCATGATATACATATATATATATATATTTACTCTACTATATATATATATATGTGGGATACAAAGTAAAGTGCCAAAGTGCATTTATTACAAAAGCTAAGGGATAACACTATATAGCTATACTTAGACTATAACAAGTTAATGATAGCGATGTTGACACACATAACTTGGTTAATGCTTGGGTTTATGGGACATACAACTATTAGGTAGATGGGTAATCATCCAATGAAAAAAAAACCTGCTCAGAGGATCATCCCAATTAGTGGCAAACAACTATATAGTTACCCTCTGGTAAACTAACAGTTTGCTATTGAAAATGGCCATAGAAATGGTTGATTTACCCATGAAACATGGTGATTTTCCATCGTTTTTTGTATGTTTACCGCAGGGTATAACTAGCCCGTTGATGGGATAAGCCACTGAATGGGGACTTGCGATCCTCCAAGTAGAACTGATGGGCTTTGAGACCAGAAATGGAACATCAACACCTGGCATAGATGGTGCCAGTCTTTAGGGATTTTTTCTGAGCAAACATAGCTATAGTCATCGGGTGCACATGATTTAGTATGTTTCTTTTCGAAAGACACCAACCATTTTGGAGGAATATAAGCCATAAATGACCAGCAGAAACGGGGGATATATGATATCATATAGGACAGGATCTTTAATGGGAAGGGCTGAGCCACTTGAAACGATTGTTTCCGGACCAACCATGGGGAATCAATGGTTGTAGTCATGGAGGGTTCAACCAGCCATGGTTTTTTGTTGGGGAGTTCAGCAGCAATTTTGGGTAGAAAGAAACTGCCCGTTTCATAGGGATAGTCAGTGGAATATCACGGAAATGGTGGGTACAACCATCAGAAGTGTGGTTTTAAGGTGGTTTGGATGAGATAAGCCATCTATTCTCAATTCTCAATAGCGTCCCCGGGCTGCGAGGCCAAGCTTTGACCTGGACCTCGATTGTTAATCCTAACGTGTGATCCACTGCCATGAAAACAGGGATTTCCTTTATACTGGTTAAGAACGGGATTTCTGTTCATGGATTGTGATATCCCCCAATAGATTGGGCCTGTATTGTCGACTATAATCATCAACCATCATCTACCAGTAGTACCGCACAAGGCGGTGGCGGAAGTTTCAAAAATAGGAAACCTATAGGAGAGATTGGTTGTTGTGAATCAGGGATCGCAGAGCGAAGCCACTGATGGACCGAAAGGTGCTTGAGGTCTCCTGACTTTCTCTCTCTTTCTGTCTCTTTCTCTGACTATCTACCCTGTCTATCTGTGGTGCAGTATCATTCAGTGTAATTAATGTAGTGTAGTGTAATGTAGTGTGGTGTAGTGGAGTGTAGTGGAATGTAGTGTAGTGTAGTGTAATGTAGTGTAGTGTAATTTAGTGTAGTGGAGTGTAGTGGAGTGCAGTTGTGTAGTTGGAGTTGTAGTTGTAGTGAAGTGGAGTGTCGTGTAGTGGAAGGTAGTGTAGTGTAGTGTAATGTAGTGTAGTGTAGTGGAGTGCAGTGTAGTGTAGTGTAATGCAGTGAAGTGTGGTGGAAGTTCGTGTATTGTAGTGTAATGTAGTGTTGTGGAATGTAGTGTAGTGTAGTGGAATTAGTGTAGTGGACTGTAGTGGAGTGTAGTTGTGTAGTTGTAGTTGTAGTTGTAGTTGTAGTGTAGTGGAGTGTAGTGTAGTGTAATGTAGTGAAGTGTAGTGGAAGGTAGTGTAGTGTAGTGTAATGTAGTGTAGTGTAGTGGGGTGTAGTGTAGTGTAATGTAGTGTAGTGTAATTTAGTGTAGTGGAATGTAGTGGAGTGTAGTTGTGTAGTTGTAGTGTAGTGGAGTGTAGTGTAGTGTACTGTAGTGAAGTGTAGTGGAAGGTAGTGTAGTGTAGTGTAATGTAGTGTAGTGGAGTGTAGTGGAGTGCAATGTAGTGTAGTTTAGTGTAATTTAGTGTAGTGGGGTGTCGTGGAGTGTAGTGTAATGTAGTGTAGTGTAGTGTAATTTAGTGTAGTGGAGTGTAGTGGAGTGTAGTGGACTGTAGTGGAGTGTAGTTGTGTAGTTGTAGTGTAGTGGAGTGTAGTGTAGTGTAATGTAGTCAAGTGTAGTGGAAGGTAGTGTAGTGTAGTGTAATGTAGTGTAGTGGGGCGCAGTGTAGTGTAATGTAGTGTAGTGTAGTGTAATGCAGTGTAGTGTAGTGGGGTGTAGTGTAATGTAGTGTAATTTAGGGTAGTGGAGTGTAGTGGAGTGTAGTGGAGTGTAGTTGTGTAGTTGTAGTTGTAGTTGTAGTGTAGTGGAGTGTAGTGTAGTGTAGTGAAGTGTAGTGGAAGGTAGTGTAGTGTAGTGGAGTGTAGTGTAATTTAGTGTAGTGGAGTGTAGTGGAGCGTAGTGGAGTGTAGTTGTGTAGTTGTAGTGTAGTGGAGTGTAGTGTAATGTAGTGAAATGTAGCGGAAGGTAGTGTAGTGTAGTGTAATGTAGTGAAGTGGAGTGGGGTGTAGTGTAGTGTAATGTAGTGTAATTTAGTGTAGTGGAGTGTAGTGGAGTGTAGTGGACTGTAGTGGAGTGTAGTGGTGTAGTTGTAGTGTAGTGGAGTGTAGTGTAGTGTAATGTAGTGTAGTCTAGTGAAGCGAAACGAAGCGACATCTGAACCTCCAAAAGTGGTCCGAAACCCTAGTGTTTTCAACATTTTGACTTGGAAATGTGCTTCGCGCCACAACGGCGTGCACTTTTTCGGCATCTGAACCTCCAAAAATGGTCCGTACATGGTGTGTTTTGTACATTTTCACTTCGAAATGTGCTTCGCACCACAACGCCGTGCACTTTTTCAACATCTCAACTTCCAAAAGTGGTCCGAGAATGGTGTGTTTTGTACATTTTGACTTCGAAATGTGCTTCGCGCAACAACGGCGTGCACTTTTTCGACACATCAACTTCCAAAAGTGGTCCGACCATGGTGTGTCTTGTGCATTTTGACTTCGAAATGTGCTTCGCGCCACAACGCCGTGCACTTTTTCAACATCTCAACTTCCAAAAGTGGTCCGAACCCCGCAGTTTTTAACACATTTTACTTCCAAATGTGCTTCGCACCACAACGCCGTGCACTTTTTCAACATCTGAACTTCCAAAAGTGGTCCGACGCTGCGGTGCTTTGTACCTTTTCACTTCGAAATCGGCTTCGCGCCACAATGGCGTGCAACTTTTCATCTCTCATCTCCCCAGATGTCTCCGCACCCGCCGCTTTAGCGAGCCTACTTTTCAACCCTCCGGAGCCACAAAACCACGAAAAAACACAGTGTTTCGCGACTTACCTACCTTTTCGCGCACCTGCATCTTCTTTCTTCTGATCTTTTCTCTTCTGACTCTTCTCCCTGCTGACTGCTTTTTCATCTCTGCATATTGTCGGAAGTTTGACTTCTAAACTTCCTTCGATCAGTTATATATACATATAAAAACATTGTTGATAAATCTCCAGAAAATCCACTATAATCCACTATAATCCAAACATATCCATTTCTATACCTAGATTTGGATTCTTTTAGACTTCTATTAAATGACTTGATCATCAATCAACCAACCAGGGGTTTAGAAGGCCGCACTCAGAGCCGATCGTCACCAGGCACCTGTCGGTTGTCTCCACCTGTGCCCGCAGTACCTTGGAGTACCTGTTAGCCAGCAGAGACAGCACTGAGTCGAGGTCCTCGGGAGAGGCCCTGCCATCCGACCCTTCACACCGAACTTGCAGGCAGCCACTCTGTCCACGAACTGTGCCTTGCAGACGGGGGTGTATGAGGACCGGCTCGGAGACCCCTTTGCGCCCGGATGAGCTGCCCGCAGGCATCCATCCAGGAGTGCAGAGCAGCGGCCGACACGGGCGAACCGTTCTCATTGGACGCGCCCAGTGACAGCGTAACAGCCGCGGGTATCACACTGGTATGCGCTGCATGTTCGGCCTTCACACGCAGACCCTCTGAGCCTTCCATGAGCCGGTTGAATCCACTTGGAAGCATGGGGCATCACTTTGTAATTAGTATATATATATATATACCCAAATCCCATATATATATATTCATATTCATCAAGCTTTCTGTTGGGACATATTGGAATAGCATTGCAGGGATGGTAAGTTTGACTCATAGCTATCTGACCAATGACCAAAAACACTCATTGATTGGATGTTGGGGACCTGGTTTATAGATGCTGACTGCACCAATCTCCTCATCGGTTTTGGTTCTGACTTGATTTTGCTTGATGGCACCTTCATTTAAGGGCCTACCATGGCCTACCCCAATCTGTTGATCAATTAGGGGGGGTTCACCCCGAAATTAGACTCTTAGAATGACAATTTTTCAGGGATATCACCCGCTCTTTTCGTAAACAGTAATACCTGGTGGTTTGTTGATCCAAACGATTACCCTCTGATAAAGTAACATAGCTATTGAAAATAACCATTGAAATAGTTGATTTACCCAGCTATAAAATGGTGATTTTCCATAGTTTACCAGGAGCTTAGCCATTAGAAACGGGGGTGCGGTTGAGGTTACTACTATGGGTACTATGGTTATACCCCCCCATGAGTTGGGCTATAACAATGGTTACTAACATCCCACTTCGTAAATGACCGAAAACACCCCCAGTTGCAAAAATGGATAGGTTCTTTTTTTGGATAGTCGGATAGTCACTCAGCTGGGATGCAAATCCAAGTATGAACTGATCAAAAAGGAGATTCAAAATCCTGGGAAAATCACTGGAAATTTCTGGAAATCACTGGCAAAATCCTGACTGGTTGGTGGTTGCCCTACCCCTCTGAAAAATGATGGAGTTCGTCAGTTGGGATGATGACATTCCCAACTGAATGGAAAGTCATTCAAAATTCATGTTCCAAACCACCAACCACCTGACATTTTCCAGGAGAATCTCCTCGATGGCCATCCGAGTTTGATCCGTGCGTTGCGCCTGTCATGCCGGCCGTCCGCCGCGCCAAGGTCTTCAGGTTGACCTGGCGAAGCTGTAGCGTGGCAATCGTGGCCCCCGGCAAAGACATGTGCTTATATAATAGCAAGCAAAATGGTACTCTATCATTTTTAAGAACTATAGTGCTATAGTAAGTAACCTTAAGGTATTCCTACTTTTGTATAATCACTCCTCATAGATACCCTTAGGATTGGATTTTACGAACTTCTATCTTTTTGGGGCTTGATTACTTCTTTATAAATCTTCTACTTGAAATGCCAAATAAAACAGATCTTCAAATATCAACATATTTGACCAAGGTTGCTGACCCTATGTGCAGTTGCTATGGGCTCCATTTCTGAGACAATATCCTGGTTTTTTTTTATACAGTCACGGGAGATCCTCAAACAAGTGGATAGATGGAATCTGGGCATAGTAAATAATTTTGCAAATTACCTTATACTTTGAAAATTATTTAGATTTACAAATAGATTAATACCTCATATTTGGGCTTAGTATAATTTAAGGTTTTTGGGACGATTTCCTTATACTAAGCATGATTTATGGGGTGACCGGTCAGGGTTGGATTGCAACATCATTGACTCAGATGGCAAGGAATCTAATCTGCAAAATTCTGCACATATCCCCAGGTATCATTGCGATTTTTTCGTACCATGCAAACTACCCTCTGGTAAACTAACATAACTATAGAAAATCATCATTTTGAATAGGTAAATCAACTATAAATGGGGTGTTTTCAATAGCTATGTTAAACTACCAGAGGGTAAAACTGTTTTGTTTTAAGGCTGTTTGGGTCAAGATATCCAATAGCAAAAGAACGAGTTGTAGTCCCTGGTAGTCAGCTCCATGGCGGGATGTGTTGGTGAACTCCCAAGATTTTCGTGACGCTGAATTGGGGAGCTGACATGTGCTGAATGTTGGTTCTATGTGAGCCCACAAATGATTATTTAAAAAGCAAAATTATTGGGTTCTCATAATTATGATTATTGGGGTTAGTAATTTGGCAATAATTATTCTGGTCAGAAACTCCAAAATGATTTCAATTGGCTAATAGGCTAATGCTGGTGAATTCCCCTTTGCGGTGCTGGCAGCCCTGGTTCTTCTGGCCTTGTCGTCTAAGACCAACTTGGCCGCGTACATCTCTAAGATCTCCTAGTGTCGAAAGTTGCGGCTTCGATGGGCCATGGACTTAGATCATAAGTGGGTTGTATCCATGGATGTAAGTTACATAATATAATCATAATATCGATGATCACCAGTAGCCACCAGCCATGGCTGAGCATTTTGTCGTCTTCCATGATCGAAATGATGTACTGACTGTGGATGCGCTCGGCCGTCATGATGCCGTCCATTGATGACCTGCTAAAGATGTCGCCGGCCTCGACTGCCTGAGCAAGGGCTACTTTCACTTCCACAGGGCACTCGCCTCTAAGACCTGAGCGGTACCCGTCTGCCCTCTTGTCGGCCAAGTACACGTGGGCGCGCCCGGAGTTGACCGTGTCTCCTCCACCTGGCAACAATCCATACTTTGCAGTGCCCTTCCAGTGGCCCAGTTGTGATGGGTTTGGTTTCCACTTATTATCACCAGTTGACTAACTCCACGGCACATCTAAGTATCATTTCTCCTGGTACGTCTGGATAACATTCAATTAATCCTAAACGATCCGATCTACCCGTCCCCCTGAGCCGGAGTTGTGTCAGTGGCATCAAGATTTTCCGGGTGAGGGGTCAGAATTCAAGCTCCAAACAGCTGTTGAGGTAGAAAATGGGCATAACCATGGTCGTATTCCCCATAAGTTGGGATATGGGTCTCCCATAACTATGCTTACATATCCAGTTGTAACTAGAACTGCACCCCCCCAAATTTTCCCACCAACCTTGACAGAGGGGTAAGGGTCTGAGACGGTCTGACTGCCCAGACTAGCGGCGTACCAGCATCATAGATCATAAATTACAGCATCAAATAGCATCATTCTGATTCACCAAGCTGAAATGTTGGGCCATCTGGGGATGATTCCCTTTACCATAATTCCAGTGACGTCGTGCTGAGACCATCTTTTAATTTGTTACATAGCCATGGAAAATGCCCCCGTGTGTAGGTGACTGTAGATGATTTGCCTACTACATTCCCAGACATTTTGTTTTAGCTCTGAAGGGACACCCCAATTCATGACCATTCAACACTGCTGGGAATGATTTATGGTTTTAGCCACATGGGGGTTTCGTAAAATGGGGGTACCCCAATAGCTGGATGGTTGATTTTATGGAAAATCCAAAAATAACAATGGATGATTTGAGGATATCCCCTATTTTAGGAAACCATCATTTTTTTTTTATAGATGTATATATATATATATGTATATATATATATATGTATATATATATATACATACATATATATATATATATATTCCCATCTAATCACCATCAAATCCCTATTATTATTGGGTAAATCCATCATTACTGGCGTCTTCCCCGGCGCTCCATGCGGCCCTTGAGGTCAGGGATGGGCACCACGATCTGCCGATCCAATCGTCCCGGCCGTGTAAGGGCCTGCGCCATTTTCAAATGCCATGGAGATGGTTGAACTTCAGTATACTTTTTGACATACCATTATAATATACATATATATATATACTAGATTATATGATTATACAATATTATATATATGTATGAATACGATATGATTATGTATATATGTTAGTACTACAAATATGATTACATAAATATATTCTATAATTATACATATAATTATATATATATTCGATATACGTATTCTATATACGTATTCTAAAAACTGCCATATATCAATATGATAACTAATTATAAATATATTCTATATACGTATTCTAGATTATCTTCCATGATATCTTTGAAGATATGCAACACCTATTGGGCAGGAAGGGCGAGTCAGTTTGAAGGTAAGCAGTGGCCATAACATGTCGGCAAACAAGAGATCTAAATTAAATCTTCCGTGGTGAATCACCAATTTCAAATCTTGGATTTCTTCGCCTCGTAGTATAGTAGTATACTTCTATATCTTTCTCCATTGATGTCAAGTGGAAACAATCGGCCAATTCACTCGCCGTTCGCCAAGTTCAACTGAATTCGAAGTTGCACCCGCAATGAAAGACTGTGAGCAGCCCATTTGCCTCCGATTCGGAATTGGGGTGAACTCTTTGGCAAATTTCTATCAAGATCCATGGCCACAAAAAGACCCATCAATGCAATCTCTTCAACCCAAACACTACCTCCATAAGGTCATGGTTTAGGTCACAAGGTCTTTTCATTTTGAAGTCCACGTTGGGGTGCACATTCAATGTTGGGGAGAAGGATTAGTCATGACGCTTTTCATCTAGTGACAGCAATGTTGAAAGATACCGTTGCCTCAGGATTTTGCATCCACCAGTTTGTTCAGAGCGGTGGTACATAGTTTGACAGTAATTCATCAATTTTTGGGATAACCCCTCAATTCAATTGTAAATCTTAGTTTATTCATGTTTATTCATATTTTTTGACAATCCCTCAGTTGCAAATGTATATGTTAATCCTGGTTGACATTATTGACAATCCCCGGCTCCTTCTCCCAATCTTCATGGCCAGTTATCCCATGGCCGGAGCCACCCGAAAATGTGAAACCAACTGCCTTGTCTAGGGACTCGGGAAAGTTGGTAGCGCAAATCACCACCACACCTAGTGCTAGGAAGATCCAATGGAAAACGCCCCAATCCTGCCCTTCGAATTTCACCTGGACCAATCATACCACCACTTTCAACAGGTAAATCATCCAGAAAAGGCTGATTTTCCAGCAAGCCATGTCTTGCATTCTAAATTGGATCAAGCAAACAAACATCGGGCATGCTGCAAAGGTGGGGATCTTGGAGAGCTACCAGCTTTCTGAAAGGAAAAAGCACTCTGGAAAATATCCACAGTGGTGGGTCCAAAACTCCGTCATTTTTTTGGGGAATCAAGTATATGGCGATGAAAATCCCCGAACTCAATGGAGGTTTATTGCTGGGGATATAGATTCTATAGATGGGGAGACTCAGCATTTTCTCATTGTTAGAACTGACTATTCAACTTCATTCACATCTGGTTGGTGGTATACCTACCCCTCTTAAAAATGATGACATTCCCAATATATGGAAAGTCAAAAAATTCATGTTCCAAACCACCAACCAGACATTTAATGTCATAGGTTGAATTCTGTTTTCTCTGCGGTTTACCCCTGCGTCATCGTCCACATGGCTGTAAACCAGCCTATTTCTAGATGAATTCGCAACTACAAAGCTTAACTCAGTTTGGGGATTTCCCAGCTAGCCATGATTGATTACCATATCTTGATTCTTAATATGGTACCATTCTATATATGATAATAGGGATATAAAAACATATTACCATATCTTGATTACCATCTCTTAATATACCATTCTATCCCTATTACATAATATCCCTACCATAGAAATTGACTGGGCAGGATTTAAATTCCATTCCATTCACAGGCAGATGGCATTACAAGCTCCGGGGATGAGCCAACATCGATCGATGTTCAGTCGGTTTTTTGTTAATAATCAATGGTCATTTCAGGAACCTAAATTGGAGGTACCTACCATATATAAGGCCTATGTAAGGGGATATACCCCCAAATTATGGCCTTATATGGTACAGTACCTCCATTTTAGGATCCTGGAATTCCCATTCATCATAAGCCGATAACTATTCCACATCAAACCACAAATGGCATGAAGGATTAAATGATTCACCCATCCATCACAAGTCGGTTTTTTTTCGTCACTTTTAGTGGTCAACTATGGTCAATTCCCGAAATTCTGTTCATCAACCCCCAAAATTCTGTTCAATGGTCATTTCAGGAACCGATTTATTGGAGGTACCTACCATATATAAGGCCTACTATCATCAACCCCCAAGTCTTGCCTCGATTTTTGATGGAAGTTGAAACCATCACCCATCCAACAGCTTACCCAAGTGTGTCAGCTACATCAGCATGGGGAACTGCCCCCATTGTTCGTTGGGTGGGGAAAAAAATCCACTAAAAAAACCAGCTGTCAGGTTTTTTTCTACCAACAAACTCACATAGATATGGAAGAAACTGGCCATCTAGTTCGATGCTTTACCTCTCAAACGCGCTGATTTTTCATAGCTATGCTAGTTTACAGGAGGGTATATCTCCATCTTCAACCCTATTAAACACCATTTAAGTAGATGTTTTATATTACTCAAATGTCCATTTGGTTCGGAGATTTCCCAGCCAGCCATATTTGATTATATACCATATCTTGATTCTCATCCCTATTATTTCCCTATTATAGCCCTATTGTTTCCCTATTATTTCACAATTGGGCTATAAAAACACATTTTTCCCTATTATTTCCCTATGGTTTCCCTATTGTTTTCCCAGAAAAAAAACACATTTTTTTTGGTGCCGTCTTTCTTTGGGCGCACCGGTGTTGTTTTCGAAGCCATCCATCTCCACCAAAAGCTGGTTCAGCGTCATTCTGGCGGCTTTCAAAAACGAAAGCCGTGGCTGGACATATATTTGTCCCATATAGATACAAGGTGGTGCCCCCAAGATAGCTAAGTTGGTTTATAACTCTAATAACTAGGACTTATGGTAGATATATCTATAGTTAATGGGATTATAAACCATCTTATAACTTGGGGGGCACCACCTTGTAGCTATAGTCCCATGCCCCTAATATGAAAAACACTCCATAAATGGTCCCAATTGGAAATTCCCTACTACACCATGGTTTCTAAGGGGGTGTTTAATATTAGGGGGGAGGGATTGTATGGTATATGAATAGTGGAGTAGTATATATATATATGTATGATATATCTGAAGATAGAAATACTATACATATAGTGTATACGGTAAATATATCATACAAATATTAGTGATGTGATATATCATTAATACAAATATCTGATATATTTCTACCATATCAATGTGATATATAATATACATATAGTGTATCTGATTGGGTAAACATATGGTAACATATCGCCTCTGGTAATCAAACATGACTAGCTTGGAAACTTCCAATGGATGATAGAGTTGGTTACAGTAGTATAGATATGTATCATCCCAATTAATGACAAACAAACAACATGCTAAAAAGTACCCATCCAGTTGTTTTCCCAGTGTTTAGCTATTTAAAAAGTGTTCGCTGATTGGCCAGTCGGGCATGATTCCCTTTACCAACTATAATTTATGATGAAGTCGCAGTGAGGTCGCAAAAAAAATCTAGCCAGATATATGCATATCCCAATTTTTAGAAAGGTATCCATCCAGTTGTTTTCCCTATGTTTGACGCTTAAGCATTTTTGATGCTTGACACCACATTCCATCCAGGCAGTTTCCCCAGAAAAATCAAACAAAGGTTCCTGGAATGGTGGATCTCCCATTGGGTACATAACAAAATACAGACAAAATAACTAATCTCAAACAAACCCACCCGAAATCCATAATTTAGACATAAAGAAGCAATTTCTGTATATCTGTCATTAATGAAATCATATTTTGGTGGATACTTAGAGGATCATCGACTAGTGGTTGATGGTTCTTCGCGAAAATCAACTAAACATGGAAGATTCTCCATTCGCTGCGTTTGATTAGTGGAGAAAAACGCAACAAAACTTGGTGGGGATTACACAAAAAAATATGGATTATCAGTTCCCAAAAATTCAATAGCCAATTATTATCAATAATCTCCAGTTTTGATGGTTATTGATGGTTAATAATCACATAATATAACTATTGATTATCATACGATTGTCGATTATCATTGTTCTCCAAAAAATCAATGAGCTATTTAAAAAAAACACCAATGTATAACACATTGATTAAACTTCGAGATTAATCGCATATACATCCATAATCCATAATTATATGTGTAACAACCAACTATGGCTTATAACTGTAGCCCAAAAAACATATATACATATATATATATATGATTTTAATTAGCAACCATTTTGACTAATCTATTAAACCAAAACATTGCCAATCTTGGATGCCCTGCAAAAAATAAATTCTTTGCTGGTGAACGTAGATATTCCCATTGATACCAAAAGACTAAAGGATTAAAGTATCCATGTCAGATTGACCTAGAAAAATAGCCAACCATTTTGGATGCTTCGACTTGGCGAGACTCCGCACCTCACCGCCGTGTTGTCGCGTGAGGAACGCTTGGAGCCAACAGCATCGATCTCGTCGATGAAGACGATGCAGGGGGCGTGTTTCCGGGCCTCCCGGGCTGGGCCAAGGGAGGGCTTAATTTAGGGGACGTGAAACAGAGAGATGACCTAAAATATACCCCAAATGTTAGCATATATACCATACATGGATCCTATGGGAGATACTATACTTGAATGTATCTTACAATGTGAGGCCCCGGTTCGGAATCGCTAAGTTGGTGCACATAACTCCAATTTCACTATGGTTTATGGTACGCAAAAAACGAACTAGTTACTGGGGCGAATCTAAACCAACTAACATCACTGGGGGGCCTCACATTGTAGATATACTTAAATAAGTTTAGTTCGCGAGAAACGACAGATGATGATGATGATGATGATGATGATGATGATGGGGATCTGGAGAGAAACAATGGATTTTAGGAATAGCCGATGCTTTGCCATCATCACAATCTAATCAAAAGGACCTAGGCCTGCGTTTTCAGTGCTTGCATTGAGTAGCTGCATGTTGGAAACACATATACATTTGGATATATATATATATACATATATATATACATATATATATATAATATCGGTAGAAACCCTAGCCCCAGACTGAGTTAAGGTCATCCTATGGTGGGTTATTTCCCAAGTTCAGCGCAGTGAGGTGTGATGCACTTCTCACGTAGATTTCACTGCTACCATGGTGAAGTCTGGTGATCAAGTCACCCTTGTAGTTGCTTCGATTTCGTCTGTTCTCCAGAAAGTTTCATGGTTTCCTTTAGCTTCGGGCATCTGAATTTCTCCAGAAAGACATGGTACCAGTATTTTCACCATTAAGTCACCATAAATTCCCATTAAGACATGGTACCATTTTGGAAATCTGACAAGTAGGTCCCTGCGAGAATCGAAATTCCCATTTCTACCCTACATTTCTGGGCCACAAATCTAGATAATCTAGTAATTTCCGGATCGAAATAACATGAAATAAGTCAATTTCTCGGTAGTTTCCTTAGTCTGTACATGTCTTTACCAGCCTTGATTTGTAGTGTGGTCTGCTAGCGGAGACGCTGCGCTAAAGCCCCAGAACTTGGACATGGTTGTTGCTTGCGTTTTGCCGTTAAACACCCACTACAATCTTGTATTTTTCTTACCCTGTGAACAAATTGTGGATCAGCATCAGCATCCCATATATGCCATCTTTCGGCATCACTTTTGGCGGTTAATCATGGTTAATCAATATTTTGTTGCATCTCTGTTGGTCTTAGCATCCGAATTCCTTACAGGGGTGTGTCTGAAGATGGGCACCCCCAATTTTTTTAGGGTTGATGATCACTCTTCTCATTAACAAAGAAACTTTGGGGGACATCCTCCAATATATCCCATATTTCGGCCTCGAAATCAAATTTTCCCCACAGTTTTGTTGGTCGAAATATCCAGTTGCGCTGCTGAAATTCCAACTTTCGTAAACCCCACTGCGACTTCATCAAAAACTCATGAAAAACACATCAGAATCCCATTCAAAGCCATTAAAAACAGCATGTTCCATCCATTTTCCATCCATTTCTGCTGCCTTTCCCCAGCTCTGGAGTTCCCCCGTGGCGTGTCCATTGGGCGCCTCCTGGAAGAGATCCCGGATGCGTCGCGCGCCGACGCCCACGAACATCTCCTCGAACTCCGAGCCCGAGGCCTTCGATGAGTCGCTGCGAGGCTGCGATCGACTGGTGGGGTATCTTTAAGTATAGTATTGTATAGTATATTATAAAATACTAATACTAAGTATAATACTATATATAGTAATACTTTTTATAAATAGTATTTAGTATAGTATTATATATCAATAAAAAGTATAGTACTATATAAAATACTATCTTAAGTATAGTATATTAATAAAGAGTATAGTATAGTATATCATATATCAATATATAGTATACTATACGATCAAACTATCACCAACATTGATACATTCAAGTATAGTATCTGGGTAAATTATACTATTTCACTAACCTGAATAGTTCGGCCATTTGGGGATGATTTCCCTTACTAACCATGATTCCAGTGAGGTCACAGTGAGGTCGTTATAATTTACCCAGATAGTATATTGATACGATCAAACATCACCAACATCGGTTCTAACTAATGAAGTGGTTCTAACTATGAATATATATATATATATACGATGGTCAAAACTGAAGATTTACTATGGTATATTAATTGACCTAAATAAAAAGATATATCAAAGTATAGCAGTATAGCATATTAATACGGTAAAAATGACCATTAACTATGATATAAAGATATAATTCTGTGGTTCTAACTATTGAAGTGGTTCTAACTAACTTTATATATAGTAACTGTGGTCAAAACTGAACATTAACTATAGTATATGTAAATATGCATTCTATTCACCTAGTTATAGTTATATTCAGCACCACCATTAATATCACTGTGGTTATAGTTAACGGGCACCATAGTGAATGCTTATAGTTGCTTAATACCACAGAATATAACTAGGTTCGTGATATTGAATGGTATATGTGTATATACTGATGTGTAAGTGAACTATGGTTTATGGTAGATATTTAGATCATGGGCTTTATAAACCAACAGACATAAATTGAATTAGTATTTAGTAGACTGGGGAGTAGTACAAGGTGGTGTCCCCCCAGTTTATGTTTGGTGTATAATCCCCATAAACCCAAGTTATTGGAGTTATGTTCACCAACTTAGCGATTCCGAACTGGGGCACCGCCTTGTGTAAATTCTGGACCATTGTACTAATGGATAACTAACATAACTGGGCCCCACACATTTGGGTTTGTCTGAAAATAGGGTATATTCCCAATTATAGCCATTTAATAGGGATAATGATCAGCAAAACCATTGGGTTTAGGGGTACACTATTTTCAGACACACCCATTTCTGGAATTTATAGAGACCCCTCTCCCATAATGGGACTTTGCTTGGCAAGGCAGCGACCTCGTCAGCGATGACCTCCACCCTATTTCCAGATGGCCCGCCCAGCGATCTGAAACGAATGGCCATAAAAAACCCCACTGATGGCGACCAAAAATGATGGGGGTTCATGGAAAAAATGGAAGATGAATGGGGTTTACATAGCCAAAGTTCATATGGGATGAATGGAGCTTTCAATGGGTGACCTATTGTGTTTGAAAATGGCGGAGATATACCCAACGGGTGTCATTACTGGGGTATATGTCCATAACTAATGTATAGCAAGTTTATCTAAGTGCTTGTTTTGGTGTCAATAAATGTTGACATGATTTGTTTTGCATAAATGTTCATATAGCACGGTGATTCAAAAAACAAAAGCGGGGCAGTCATATGTAATGATGATAAATGGGGTAGTTTCAGGAACCAATAGTCTACCCAATAATATTACCACCCAGTGAGCTAACACACAGCTATGGAAATGACAATTTTTCATATTTATCCATGATACCTCTTGAACATGGTGATTTTCCAGAGCTATGTCAGTTTGAGGGTCTTGGATCTTTTCTTAACGGCATCCTAAGTGGTTCATTCCGCTGACAAATCCTGCTGTCGATTGTCGGGTTCAATCCGTTTATTAGTTGCCATTAGATACTGCATACCTACAAGGTGGGGTACATTGGGTTGGTTGTACCTAGAAATCACTCACCCAATACCCCAAGATTGGCGAAATAGATCGAGTGTGCCGGGGGGACCATAATTCTAGAAAGGCATTGCCACATTTTCCGACATTTTCATTCTAGCAAAGGCATTGCTACTATGTCAATCCCAGAAGTTTCTTGAATTGCCACATTGCTGGAGAAATTCTTCTGGGAAATCCGATGGAACGACCCCGTTGATCATCTTGTTCTGTTGCTTGCATATATCCTCCGTTCTATCCCATAATCCCATTAAAACTATCTTATCGCCATTTAAAAACATATATACATATGTAAAAAAAATATATATGTATAATATATATATGTATACATACATGTATATCAAATAAAAAACAAATGAATAAATACATAAATAGATAGATAAACAAGTAAATAGATAAACACACACATATATATATATATATCATATATATATATATATATATCATATATATATATATCATATATCATATATATATCATAAAAATATATATATATATATATCATATATCATATATATATATATATATATCATATGTATATATCATATATATATAATATATGTATATGTATGTATTCAATTATATTTATATAATCGAACAAATTTAATGTTTCATGGTTGAATGCCAATTTTGCCTGGTGAATTCCTCATTTTGGGATGGGGATCTATCTTTCTTGTTGACACCAGCACACCGACAAGCACCTGGTTTCACCAACCGTGCCTGCAAAAAGGGCACCCCAGCTTCACCCGCAATGGCGCGTGCCAGGAGTGTCTTGCCCGTACCAGGAGAACCACTCATCATCACGCCTGACCGCGAAGTCCGCGAAACTCGAAAGCTAAGCTTGTGGGTGCCAGAATTTCAGGTTGGTGGTGCAATAACCATCTTGAAAAATGATGGAGTTCGTCAATGGGAAGGATGACATCCCATATATGAAATGGAAAAAAACATGTTGGAAACCACCAACCAGGCTATTGTTCAGTTTTCCCCTGCATCCCGGGTCGTCCTATTTAGCAAAGATTTCTTAGTCTCTTTTCGGATCCGGATGCAGGCCATGGCACCCGACTTTTTTTGGCCAGATAGAATGCCAGATGGATAGAATGTCAGAAAATAGAAAAATACCATCTGGTTATTTAACATAGCCATGGAAAATCACCATTTTTAATAGGTAAACCATCTATAAATGGGCCATTTTCCATGGCTATGTTAAATAAGCAGATAGTATGTTAGACAAAATGTCAGATAGAGTGCCAGATAGACTTTCAGAGTCAGTGGGTGGGGATCACTCGAAGAAAGTAGTTGTTGGTTTAAACCTTGAGAACGTGAACTCGGGTCATTTTTTTTGAAGTTAAATCGCCTTTTTAGTACGCAGCAAATGACATCACTGTCATTGTCTTGGGGGTTTGACCAGCCTGATGAATCACGCAGCAAGTGCCGCAGGGTTTATGCTTCCGGGGTTCACACTATAGTAAGAGAAGTATAATGATAACTGTAAGTATAATTTCCACAACAACCAGCATAACCAGCCCATTGGAAACCTGGAAGTTGTATGAAGTTGTGAGGTAAACATCCTCCATATCATGGTTCCACCAATCTTAACCATCACTTGTGGAGCCGTGGAACCCCAGAAATCGCCAAAAGTGGGATTCGGGGTTGGGCTTAGGGTTGGTTTTCATCAATGATTCAAACATTTTTTTGTTTAAACGATGTTGAAACCAAACATGTTTAAATGTTTAAACCAATTCGGGGTAGTAAGGACCATAGTGAATTCGTGGAAACATGTTCCCTCCAAACTCCGGGTTTGCCCACACTCAAACAACACATCCCGACAATATGATATACTTATCACCAGAGGACGAATGAAAACACTGGCTATACACAGTGATTTTGACTTGAGGTTTTTAGGATTTAGGGTTTTAGGTTTTAGCATTGCCAATCTTAGATGCCCTGCAAAAAAATAAATTCTTTGCTGGTGAACGTAGATATTCCCATTGATACCAAAAGACTAAAGGATTAAAGTATCCATGCAAGATTGACCTAGTTAGGGTTTTAGGGTTTGTTGTTTTGGAAAGTAAACAACTTAAACCTTATGCAGGGATTTGAGCAAGGATATGCAGGATTCACCGCGGGCAAACCGTTTGGGTTTGCAGCGAACATGTTTAAACGAATTCCAAGAGATTGCGGACCCAACCGCATGAGATTATGTGCACTTGCAGAATCAAGCACTGAGAAATCTGCTGCTAGTGACATCACCCTGGTGCTTCAGTCTTTCTCGCTCACCCGTTCTTACTACTCAAATCGTTCATTACTGCATTTGAGTCTTCCCGGCCGCCAACTTTCTACATTATGGAAATCTGCTTTTAACACGTGTCACTAACCATGTTTAAAGGTCCGAAAGCGGTCACAAGATCTGCCCAGAAAAAATCAGCAAAAATCCATGTCATCCGATGAATGGGATGCAGAGAATCCCCATGTTGAGATTGTCACGTTCGGAACCCCCAGGTCATCTTAAACTGGTTCTGATAATACAAGGTCCAGTGATAATTTGCTTTACAAAGCCATTTACTATAGTTATACCCTCTGGTAAACTAACATAACTATGGAAAATCACCATTTTTAATGGGTAAATTGCTATAAATGGCCATTTTCAATAGCTATGTTTGTTTACCAGAGGGTATATCTCCCATCAACCATAGAGTTCACCAAGTTCAACCTTTCTGCAACGACCAGGGAGCCCCCCGGGGGCCCCGGACCTTTGGGCAACTTGGCGCCGAGGCGTGTGAAGCGATCCGGGTCTCGGAGGTACAAAATGATCTCTTGCAACTCATCCTGGACGACGGATCGGCGGATTCCGACGGAGCGGCGGATCGAGGATGAACTTCCGCTGCTCAGTCAGACTATAGTAGACCTATATATCGACTGGTTGGTGGTTTTAACCATCTTGAAACATATTAGTCAGTTGGGATTATTGTTCCCAATATATGGAAAAATAACAAATGTTCCAAACCACCAACCAGCCTATATATAGAAAAATGTATATATTTACTGCGACATCTTGGGGGACAACATGGGACAACATTCTTCCAGCTTCTTGAAAAAATACCAAAAACAAATAACTGGGGGGTCTGTGGTGGTGGTTGTGGTCGTTGACGCACGTTGAACTTGGTGAACTCTATGGTTGATGGGGGATATAACTATAGCAAATGGGTTTGTAAAGCAATTTATACCCTCTGGTAAACTAACATAACTATGGAAAATCACCATCTTTAAGTTCGGTAAATCAACTATTTCAATGGGCCATTTTCAATATAGCAAACTGTCAAATTACCAGAGAGTAACAGGGATGCCACAGGAAATATGGGGCAACCAATGGCAGACATAGCACGAAGATCTCTCACCAGCGGCAGTTGTGACACATGTCAGTTGACAGGTCCAAGGGAGGCTTCATGGCCAGGATTCAGGGCAGTCAAAGAAACAACGGTCGCCAATCTCGACCCCAACGAAGACCACCCTGGATGGGATAATGGGCTGCTTTTTTTCGGCGAACAGGGCGCCAGTTTCATGGGGATTCCACTGCATAATGTTTGGGCTTCAGGTGAACACAACTTGTAGGCTGTAATTTCATTCTTGAAAATCAACCATTTTCCCGAGCCTGAAATGCTTGGATTATCATCCCAGCTAGTAAGCAGTTGATGACCAAGCACTTACAACATAGGCTGCTGCGTCCAGGAAGCGCCTTCCAATTTTCAAACATTTGTTTTTTTTCCAACAACCATTCTAGCCCGTTTTTGAAATGGGAAAGGAATACAGCCTTTTAAATAACATTCACAACCCAACACTTAGTAGACTCAGTACTAGCTTTTGGAGCAGTTGTTTCAGCAGCTAGTACAACACTATTAATGTGGTTAAAACAATAACAAACAATCCCCCAGTCATCACCATTTTTATAGGTGCTAACTATATATAAACCATTCCCAGTCATGGATAGTTTATGGCATTGTTTTAACCACCATTAGATTAGATTACCCAGTAAATCCCATTAGATCCTATGAAAATGTCTATTGAGTCACCATAAAATCCAATTAAATCCCATTAAATAATAGAATATATGATTATTGCAGTGATATTATCCAATTAAATCCCATGAACAAATAAATTACCCATTTAATTGGATTCAATAACTAACAATATCCACATCTCTCCGTTGACGCCATGGTAGCAAAGGGAAGATGGGAAGCATGAAGCATCCCAAATATCGTTTATTAAAAAAACAAATGGGAAATCATCTCCATTCTATTCATTTTTCAAATATATATATATATATATATGTATATGAATACATTCATTTTCTTGTTGCAGTTTCCATCAAGACATCCATTTTATCCCATGAGATATCCTCATTGTGGTGGGTTTGATATCACCTTTTCTTTCTGGGTGATCTCTGCATCAGCCCCAAGCTTACGGGCTTATCCGGCTTGCAAATCTGCCGGGGTTGCTGATGGGGAAATTCAAATTTTCCACGGCCTCAGAAGATAGGTGCCTCAAATTCCAATGGTTAACCTTTTGAAAGTTGTGACATTGGTGACAGTTTGCGAACTGGAACCTGGCACATAGAAATAGTTGATTTACCGAACTTAAAGATGGTGGACCTTTCCATAGTTATGTAAACGTTTACCAGGGGGTAAATCCCATTAGATCCCATTAGATCCCATTAAGTCAACATAAAATCACTATTTTTATAGGTGGTATGGTTACCATTCCCAAATGTACCCCATGAAACCCAACCCTAATTTTCCTGATTTTTCATGGTATACCTGGTATACCTCATTTCTGGACAAACCCAAGTCATATTCTTGGTGATATATTAATGGTCCCCCATTCAAAAATCATCGCATTCTCAGTACATGTTCCAACCATCGTTGGGTGCCTCTACTCATTGGCTTGCTCGAAAATTCCCATTCACTTCGATACCCTCTGATAAACTAACATAACGAACATGGCCCATAGAAATAGTGAATTTTCCCATGAAAGAGGGTAAATTCTGGAATTTCTTCAGCTTACCATGTTTGATTATTCCATTGTATTCCCATAAAATCCCATCGTAATTTCATTGATTTACCATTAATCACATTGAATTTCAGATTGTTTAATTACCGAAGAGTATCCCACTAAGATGGGGGTGTTTGGGGCTGTTTGTCCACCATTTCTGTCCTTCACCTCATCACACCCTTTCACGTCGTTGAAGGTAGTGTTAACTTCCTGACAATGTGGTGATTCTCTCTGGCCGAAGCAAACATGGGATTGCAGCAAACCTAGTGATTTATGGTCAAAACACATGTCATTTCACATGTAAATAACCAGCAAAGATTTGAGATTTTCTTGCAAAAATGGGATTGAACTGGTGCCCTTCAGTAATCAAATATGGTATTTCTAATGGGGTTTCTTGAAATGAATTCCCAAAACCATGGGTTTCAATATCTGTCAATGTTGACGGGGTCTAATTTTGGATGATCTGGGGTACCCCCATTTCAGGAAAACTCCAATAGGAAATCCCACGCACTTAGCCTAAATCATACTGGATGCTGTGGGATACCTTTCATTGCCAGATTTTTTTTTCGGGGACCCAGGGGTGGAATAAACCACCCTACATCAGTTGGGTTTCCCAAATTGTTGGTAGTTCAACCCCTTAATCTATGAATTGGTTGAAATCCCATGAACTAATGCATTGTAAGCCATTCTTTCGTGCAGCCGGCCAACTTTAAATGGTATATACATCCACGATTTAACATGACCAAAACAATGGGGGGGGGTTCTTGACTGGTGTCGGAAAGACAAGTTCTGTGCAAAACGAAGCTGTTGTCATCAGAATAAAAGAGAACTAATAAAACAATATTATATATATATACACACACTATAATCATCCTGAAGTAGATATTCTATTCATCATATATAAACATATCATATATTCTGAATATAGATTGTACACACACATGTTCACCATATCTAATAATCATCATTGTAATATCACAATTTCAAATTGAACATTTCAAATACCCTCTGGCAATTTGTTACCAGTACATAACTATTGAACATCAGCATTTTTAATGGGTAAATCAACTATTTCTATGGCCCTGTTCGTTATGTAAACGTTCATCAGAGGGCAAAAATTCCTATCGAGCCGATCATCCCTTGGAACTCGGCAGAAGATATCTTTGAATAGAAACCATATGAGAATTTCCCGGGAACGGTTAGGAATGGGTTTATTTATAGTTTTAAAAAATAAAAAATATATATAATAGGTTGTAATTACAACTATTCATAATAAATAATGATGTTATGATTACACTATTTTGCATTACATATTACGTATTGTAACGATGTTGCATATTATTCACATATTGATGATCATAATAGTAATAATCTGTAACAATAATAATCAACAGATAGTCATCATGATATCTTTTGGCAAGTAAAAGCAATAAAACACAAAAAATCTCTACTTCACCAAGCAACAAAAAGTAGTACCATGTGGCCATGGCCATGGCTAGCTGGAAAGTTCACCATTTTGGGTTCATTTCCCGAAGCCATTTAGCGCGGGAATTCCCTGTGGCCATGTGAAAAAAATCCCAGTCAAAGGGATGAAACCCGTGGGGTAAGTAAGAGTTACCCTCACGATAATAATTCGCTTTATTCACTTGTATACCTGGCAAGTGTTTCAATTTCACATCATTAATATCAAATGTTGAGATATTCAGAAATTGGGACACCCCAGTGACAACTTTTCAATAACGGTCATATCCAATAATCAACGCAATCAGGCAATAACACTTGAGCCATGAAAAATACTCCTATCCCATCTTATTGTACTAGTTGGTTGATAGGTTCCCCAAAATGGGTTATAAGATGTTATAAGAACCCCAATAACCCTCATAGCAAAACTCCTTACAGATTGTCAGCAGTTTTTTTTACAGAATTTCGCCACCTTCCGATAAATCTGCATGACACTCATGACCCATGGTACAACCCCCTCTGTCACAGCTGGGGGAGGCAGCAAAGCTGCTGTTTTTTTTTTGTTTTTTTGTTGGTGCCGTTGGTGTCCGAAATGTTGGATACAGTTAAAAGAACATGGGGATGTAATATGATTTTCCTTGATTTCCGGGATTTAGTTCAGTTTCAAAATGTTTTAAAATAAGCGGACGATCAAGACCAAGACGTTCAGGGGCGTCGTTTTGTGGAAAAACAATGAGAAACAAAAAGCGCTCATGTATCATATCAAACGGACGTCGTTTTAAGGGTACCCCCGCATCGTCTTGCACCTGTCTGTGGATTAGACTTAAAATCCGCCTTCGCCGAAGACATGTTTTCATCACCGTAAATAAATGCAGTTGCTCAGCTGCTGCCCGGCGCAGCGGGTCCATAGTGACATCCACAGACGTATATCTCTTTTGACGTCTTCCAGCGGTGCCAAAAGCTACCTGACACTGATAGGGGCTGGGTGGGGGTTTAACGTCCCCCCACGACAGAGAACACAAAGCCACGGAAACCACGTTCCGGGGGGCCAGGAGTGGCTAAGGAGCGATCGCCTCGAGGATGTTGCCCGCTCCACCCTTGCCCAGGCGGTTCACAAAGAGGTGGCGGCAGAGGTCGCGGACCAGCCGTTCGTAGATGGGCTAACACCCCACCAAATAACTCCTCCCCCAACACTCCTTACAATAACGAATCAATTATCAATGATTCGCATAGAATCCCATAATTTTCGTATTTGTTCATGGTTAAACCACCATTACCAGAGGGTATACCCCCTACAGCCAATTAATAATCAATCAATCATCAATCATCAGTGATATCCCGGATATCCCTATCTGTTAGTTAAAGCCCTAATAAAACCACTATTATAGATAGTTAAATCCGGTATGTCCAATCTAAATTCCAGCTAATAATCAGTCAACAAGGTTAACATAGCGAACTGGAAAATCACCATCTTGAATAGGTAAATCAACTATTTCTATGGGCAATTTTCAATAGCAAACTGTAACAAATTACCAGAGGCTAACACAATCATTCCATGAATCGATGGTGAAATCAGTTAACTCCCAGGAAACCAACCGTGTCAGCCATGGCTTTCATAACTCATCAATCCTATGGTATTTTTCAGTTACCCTAAATGGACAGTGCTAAATGGTAAAAATCCCTGGTCAACTTTTATGGGGTTTTTCAAATGGTGACTTTTTTATGGGGAATTCATGGGATCTTTCATGGGATTTACTGGGATATACCCTCTGGTAATGACTAACAGTGATTTATAGTGGATTTATAGTGGATTAATGGGATTTTATAGTGATTCAATGGGATATTAATGGGATATACCCGGCCTGGTAATTTGACAGTTTGCTATTGAAAATGGCCATAGAAATAGTTGATTTACCCAGCTATACATGGTGGATCTTTCCAGTTCGCTAACTGTTAGTTTGCCAGAGGGTATATTCCATGTCTTTGATAGTTAGAAACTCCATACTATCTCTATAATTGATGGTCTCCATTCCCATTACTACCCCAGTTGTTAAAAAATCCAACAACACTATGAGTTCAATAGCGAACATGGATTATCCAAGAATTGTCCATGAATCATCCATTAATCATCCCTTGCTTATCCTTTTTGCTTGTCCCAGTATATAGATTGAGATTTCTTAAGTCATGGGGGGTACCCAGATTATCCAATCATCCAAGTCAGACCATGTTACATTGTATTGACAGCAATGGTGACGACTGGGGATTCCCCCATGACTTGGGAAACCCCAGTCGTGAGCAGTGTTCAAAATGTCTCATTTCATTATACTGGTGGTGTTTTTTCGGGATTCCCCCTTCTTGAATTATGATAATCCCCAATACATGAAGGGTAGTGTAATCCCCAAACTAATCATCAACCAACCATCATGTATCAATATGTATCAACTATACCAACTATAATTCTTTATGTTTGATGGTTAAATCCCATATAAATGCCATATAAAATTCATCAACCCTGCCAGGGGTAAAATGCTTCCATCCTCCACCGGCGTGATCTTTTTCGATCCCATGCCGAAGCCCTGAGGCGGCAGGATCAAATCGCCATTCTGTTTACTTTTTTTTAGCACCCAAAAGATCAATAACTTCCTAAAATCCAGCTTTTCTAAGGTGATGACATGAATACTTTTCTATGTTTGAGATTGCTATACATGTCATAATAAAAATTACTTTACTTCGTGTGATCCCCACCATGACATTTATACATTTTCTTACTGGCAAATCTTCTGGCATTCTATCTGACATATCTTCGGACATTCTATTTGACATTCTATCTGGCATATCTTCTGGCATATGATCTGGCATATCTTCTGACATATCTTCTGGCATTCTATCTGGCAAATCTTCTGGCATTCTATCTGGCATATCTTCTGGCACTCTATCTGAAATATCTTCTGGCATTCTATCTGGCATATCTTCCGGCATATATTCTGACATATCTTCTGGCATTCTATCTGACATATCTTCTGGCATATATTCTGACATATCTTCTGGCATATCTTCTGGCATATGTTCTGGCGTATCTTCTGACATATCTATCTGGCAAATCTTCTGGCATATTATCTGGCATTCTATCTGGCATATCTTCTGGCATATCTTCTGGCATATCTTCTGACATTCTTTCTGACATTCTTTCTAACTTTCTTATGCACATTCTTTGTCCCATATCTTCCTACATGAGGTCCGGCAGGGAACACTTGGCGTGGATACTCGCGGTTGAGGTCCGGCAGGGAACACTGGGCGTGGATGGTCGTGGTTGAGGTCCGGCAGGGAACACTGGGCGAGGATGGTCTTGGTTGAGGTCCGGCAGGGCACATTGGGCGTGGATGGTCGTGGTTGAGGTCCGGCAGGGAACACTGGGCGTGGATGGTCGTGGTTGAGGTCCGGCAGAGAACACTGTGGATCGCGGGTCGCAGTTGAGCAAGGACGACGAGGACGACGAGGAGGACGAGGAGGAGGAGGAGGAGAGGAGGACGAGGCAGGAGGAGGCGGAGGAGGAGGAGGAGAAGGAGGAGGAGGAGGAGAAGGAGGCAACTGACATAAAATCTAACAACCCTCACCTGGCAGGTGGGGAATAACAATTTGTAACTACAATAGTGATAATAATTATCATAACACCCAAATCTTCTACGAATAAATCCATCTGGCTTCTCCATTTTTTCTGGTTTAAGCCAGATTCTGTTTCATCTCATTGGTGATTTCTGCATCGCTGCTTCGATTCGTGTTTTGGGATCGTTGCCCCACGTGGTTTTGCATCATGTCTGTGGTCAAGCGAGGTAAACATGGCTTGCTGGAAAACCCGCTTAGATGTTTTTCCTAGCTATAAACCTCCATTGATGTAGGATTTCTCGAAACCATTCTCAGAATATCCATTTCGAAAGGTTCAATCATCTTCACTTCCCATGTCTAATGGTAAACCCCCATTACACCCACATACCCTCTGGTAAATTGACATAGCTATTGAAAATTGCCATAGAAATAGTTGATTTACCCAGCTGTAAATGGTGATTTTCTATAGTTATGTAAACGTTTACCAGAGGGTATTACGAGTACACCATCATAAATCATATCATTATCCCTCAAGCATATCCCTTTCGTTCACCATTTTCATGGTGAAATCATCTTCACTTCCTCATGTTTCTCCCTTGGGTCGGTCGAGAGTTGATTTTTACCCATGTTTCACCACTCAACTTCTGGCCCAAAAAGGAACAAGGAAAACACACAATCAAAACTTCAACAAACCCAGGTCTATAGTTGGTACTCTCATTGCATCCAATTTGTTTTATCCCATCATAGATTCCATATTCCATTGATATGAGATTTCCCATATTTAACCGGTATATGACTAGATATTCCAATATTTCCAATGCTTTAAAGTTGATCCCTGGCGGTCCCATTGGGTGCTTCGGGTGCAACAAACATTGCCAATTTCCAGATGCCCTGCAAAAAATGACAAATTCTTTGCTGGTGAACGTAGATATTCCCATACCAAAAGACTATAGTTAGGATTAGTTTGTATCCATTTTCAGATTGACCTAGATCGACCTAGCGGTCCCATTCGGTGCGCTTCGGGTGCTTCGTCCCAACCCGCGCCGGACCCGCGCCTTCTGCACATTTCCGGCCAGGCCCTCCGCGAAGACCGTGACGCCAGCGACCATGATCAGCATCGTCACGGAGGAGCGCAACAGTCTGCAGATCCAAGGGATCCAAGGGGGGGATCCCTTGGGGATCCCTTGGGGATCCCTTGGGGCCATATGCTTAGTGAATGGTGATAGTGGAAAAAAAAAGTTGCTTTGTTATGCTGAATGGTAATATATCTATATTATCATATTCAGTTAGCTAAGCGGGTTGTAACTAGGTGAATTTTATGGTTTGTGGCAGAAAATATCGAACTAGATAATGGGGGTGATAAACCAACAAACATAAATGGGGGGGCACCACCTTCTCGTTCAGTGATGGATGGTAGTTTTTGTTCATAGTTGAAACCATGAAATCAACATAGAAATCCATGGCGATCGTATGTGCTCGTGTTGGGTTCTTATGAATGTTTAAGAGTGTTACTTATATCTGGGTTTCAACCATGAAACATTGAGATTGCCTCACCAAAACCAAGGATGTATCCTTCAGCAAAGACAAAGTGTGCCCTGTTCAAAAAGTTGGCTTATAAACCTATTCAACTACAGAATCGACAAATGCATCATAAATCTGTAAAAATCAGAAACCAACTTAGCTGCGGGGCAGCTGGCTGGGTTTTATGGTATGGGATTGTGCATTCTGAGCTCTAAATGTGACCATTCTTGCAGAGGTGAACCTGAAAAGATAGCATCAATAAACCCTAATTGGGGATGGTTGGTGGCATCGGGTTTACCGCATATGAACGGGGACGAAAAAAACCAACAAACTGCAACTAGTCGTGTGGCCGCGGGGATTTCTAGCAGTGTTTTTTGGGGTGTATGAAGCTGATGAACGAGTGGGTTAAATGTTTCGGTGTATCAGTTTGGTGAATTTCTACCATTATTTTTTGGGGTTGTTCACCTGAAACCAATTGGGGTTCTGATTGAGTGTGCCCGGAAAAGGTCCCAACGCTCAATTGCCCACATCTTCCACTTGCCAAAGATCGCCCCAGAGCCCTAATGAATTGATGGTTGCAACCCCTGAAGTGGGTACAACAGGTAGCCATTTTCAAGCTAAAGGAAGGATAAATCATGTTCAATGCTGGATAGTCTATCACAGGATTTTTCTGACCAGATGGCAAGATGGCCGTGGGTCTTTATCCACCCTCAAAATAACACGTTTTTTGTCGATGATTACACCAGAGCAAAAGCGATCAAACACATACACTTCGATTTGCTAAGAGGACCCAAACAAATAAAACATATTCCCAGTAGATTCCCAAAGAAAAACAAAGCAATGGCAATGCTGCCGATTTGCCATCCCGGCATCATTGCCGTCTTCATCCACTGGCATGCGCTGCTCTCTCTCCAGGGCATTGAAGTTCCTCTGCCATCGCTTTTTCAGCAGCTGCCTTTGACAGTCAAAGCTGCTATTCCACAGCTGCTATTGGATCCTTGCGCAAGCCAAAGCGCTGGGAGTACTCATGCGCCTGCCCGCAACACTTGCTACCCAAACAGTGATGTTTCCGGAGCACTGCAATGTGCACAGCCGCCCACATCTCGGGATCCTTCTCCTTCGATGGCATTAGTAGTAGGTCACGTACTCTGACAGGCACATCGCCCTGCGGAGCTAGATGGGTGGCGTTATTGTCATTGACTCACTGTGACATTGCTTCAGCTACTAACTGTTACATTGCTGGTTGGTGGTTTTAACCATTTTGAAAAATATTCGAAGGAAGTTTAGAAGTCAAACTTCCGACAATATGGACAGATGAAAAGCAGAGCAGGGCAGAGGCAGAGAGAAGAGAAAGATTAGAAGAGAGAAGATCAGAGAAGAGAAAGAGTCAGCAGAAAGAAGATGCAGATCCGCGAAAAGGTAGAAAAGTCGCGAAACACTATGTTTTTCCAATGATTTGAGGCTCCGGAGGGTCGAAAAGTAGGCTCGCTAAAGCGGCGGGTGCGGAGCCAGCTGGCGAGATGAGAGATGAAAAAGTGCACGCCGTTGTGGCGCGAAGCACATTTCCAAGTCAAAATGTACAAAACACCTCAGCCTCGGACCGCTTTTGGAAGTTGAGATGTCGGAAAAGTGCACGCCGTTGTGGCGCGAAGCACATGTCCAAGTCAAAATGTACAAAGCACACCATTGTCGGACCACTTTTGGAAGTTGAGATGTCGGAAAAGTGCACGCCGTTGTGGCGCGAAGCACATTTCGAAGTCAAAAGTGTAAAAAACTGAGGGGTACGGAGTTGGACATTCAGAGTTCGTTTCGCGTGGCAGGCGCAAGGGATTGTGCACCTTGTCAAGTCAAAAGTGAGCAAAACGTGAGGGTTTCGTTGCATTTCCAAAAACGATGGCAGGCGTGGGACATTTGAAGAGGATCTGCAGAGATGCATTTCGAGTGGCAGGCGCAGTACAAAAGACTTGTTCATCAGAGATGTTCGGAGGTCATCAGATCTTCAGGTTTGCTGAGATGATTTTGCGTGACAGGTGCAGCACTTCGTATGACCTGGCATTAATTTTTCGTGGCAGGCGCAGTACTTTAGACAGGTGGGCTAAAAAAATCACAAAACGCATTGGTACGAGGCCGTAGCTCTGCACTCAAATTTCCATTTTTGAAGGAATTCTCGCAGCAGCCTTTTGTTTTTGATGTCGTCAACTTCGAAAAATGAGGAAGTCTCGCAGGATTGCTTTGTTTTCGATGTTGTCAAGTTCAAAAAATAAGGAAGTCTGCAGAATTTCTGAATTTTTGATGTTGTCAAGTTCAAAAACTGAGGAAGTCTCGCAGAATAGCTTCGTTTTCAAACTTGCAGATAGACAGATAGACAGATAGACAGACAGACAGATAGATAGATAGATAAACAGATAGATAGATAGAAAGATAGATAGAAAGATAGAATGATAGATAGATAGATAGATCGATAGATAGATAGATAGACAGATAGGTAGATAGATAGGTAGAAAGAAAGAAAGAAAGATAGATAGATAGATAGAGAGAGAGATAGATAGATAGATCGATAGATAGATAGATAGAAAGATAGATAGAATGATAGATAGATAGATAGATAGAAAGATAGAATAGATAGATAGAATAGAATAGAATAGAATAGAACAGAATAGAATAGAATAGAATAGAATAGATAGATAGATAGATAGACAGACAGACAGACAGAGAGATAGAGATATAGAGAGGTGGAGATAGAGAGAGAGAGATAGATAGATAGATAGATAGAGAGAAAGAGAGAGAGAGAGATAGATAGATAGAATGATAGATAGATAGATAGATAGATAGATAGACAGATAGGTAGATAGATAGGTAGAAAGAAAGAAAGATAGATAGATAGATAGAGAGAGAGAGATAGATAGATAGATCGATAGATAGATAGATAGAAAGATAGATAGAAAGATAGAATGATAGATAGATAGATAGATGGCTAGGCAGATAGACAGATAGACAGACAGACAGAGAGATAGAGAGATAGAGAGATAGAGAGATGGAGAGAGAGAGAGAGAGAGATAGATAGATAGATAGATAGATAGAGAGAAATAGAGAGAGAGAGAGAGATAGATAGATAGATAGATAGATAGATAAACAGATAGATCAGTAGGTAGTTAGGTAGATAATCAGAGAAAGGTAGAGAAACAGAGAGAAAAAGAGAGAAAGAGAGAGAAAGAGAGAGAGAGAGAGATCAAGCACCTTTCAGTCCACCAGTGGCTTCGCTCTGCTATCCCTGATTCACAACAACCAACCTATAGTCCTATAGGTTTCCTATTTTGAAACTTCCGCCACCGCCTTGTGCGGTACTACTGGTATGGAAAAATGTTTCAAACCACCAACCAGATTGCTTCTGCTTCTGATAAAACAAGTTGAAATGGCCTCAACAACCTCAAGAGTGCATAACAAATTCTGCTGGATTAACCAATGGGAAATGACACCATCATCGACGCAAATCCCAGATTTACCATCCAGGAATCAAATTTGGCCGTGGAAAATCCACCATTCACTTCGATTTTCCCATTGCCATTTTATCGGGGATGCGAATCATATTATTTGGACTACTGGTTGGTGGTTGACCTACCCCTCTGAAAAATGATGGAGTTCGTCAGTTGGGATGATGAGATTCCCAACTGAATGGACAAATAAAAAATGTTCCAAACCACCAACCAGATTATGGATTATAGCGCCAATAAGTAGGGTCTACAGTATGGCAATCATCACCATACTTCCAACCACTCTAACCAGCTGTAAAGCTGCATTTGTGGTGAATTTCCCCCCTAATTTGGAGCCACGGCCATCAATTTTCAAGTCGGACCTCCACAGGGCCCTTCGATGGCTATCGGCAATCTGTACCTGGCATAGCCATAAAATGGGCTCAAGAAGTTATGTAAAACTGCCTGGAAACCCACATGTTCATGTTCTTCAAATACGTGCTTTCCAACAAATCATGGATGAGCCATCTTCCCGGGCAACATATATGATATATAGATATATGAATTAGTGACTTCACTATAGTTATATATCATATATGAATAATTAAGAGTGGACAATTTTTGAGTTGCATAAAATTCGCATCTTGTGGGACCCCAATTGTGCTCATGCCAGCGACAGGTTTTGGATGCTGTAGCCAAATGTGGATAGCAAATATGCGCATTTCGCCTACATTTGGCAATATTTGATACTGTTTGGTGGTTTTAACCATCTTGAAAAATATGAGTTCGTCAATGGGAAGGATTATCCCAAATATTATGGAAAATAAGACATGTTTGAAACCACCAGCCAGGATATGTCTTTACTATATGCTGGGACATGGTGAGACCTTGCTTTTGCAAACAAATCCCAATGTCCAAAGCGTATCTGCAACAAACGGTCAGCTCGGTCGACCCGATGGCAGATGATAAACCACAACGCGGGATTTTTTTCCAAAAATGGAAGGAACAGACTAAACCAATAATTCACCAGAGAAAATCAGTGAATATAGATTTCTAGGTAGGGATTATGCACTAGAGTCCATGCGAAGCAAAATCAAAGGTGCCCTAGCCTCTAAATACTATTGAAGCCAGCTGAAATCAGAGTCCAAAACCCAATAATACACGTTCAGTCCTAGATTTGACCAATGCTCGTAATACAAGTACGTCAGCATAGCTGTCTAATTCTGTTCTGTGCGACATCGGAACAAAAGAGGAACCACACCCTGGATGTTGTTCCAGATCGGAGTGTGCCAAGCATGGCTCATGCTATACTTAAATGGCACCATTGAGCCATGCAACATGGCCACTGAAATTTCATTTTAAGCTAAGTAATTAGTATCAATTTGTTTTTCCATGGTTGGTCCAACATTCTGGGTGAAACTGACACCAAACATAATCTGGTTGGGATCTGGATATGTTCGCCATTGTCATTTTCCCACTTCTATGGTTGAAAACAGAAACTATTCGACACAATCAATATTCCCTTGCTTGATGAACAGTTAGAAAGTAAGATCCTCAAAGGATAGCTAAGTTGGTGTACTAGCTTTAATGGTTGAATTTTAATTAGTTTTACAGTAGATAATGCTAGATATGATATTAACAATTATGAACATATACCCTCCTTAGTCAACTAACCGTTGTGAAAACCCCACCGCGTTTCTTTGGTTGTAGCGTATTTCCCAAACGCGAGCCCCCGTGGAACTTGCGCCTGGATTGGTTCGCCCTTGTTGGGCAACTTCAACTCCACCTCGGCAGATCGGAGCGCCTTTTTTGGAACGTCTTTTTCCATGGCAGATCGGTCGCAAATTCCGGTCTCAAAATATACTAATATACTATTAATAATGTGGTATTATATGGTTAATGATAGTCAATATACTGTTAATATACTAATACCATAGGTATTTAAATGATGGTTAATATACTGTTAATGATGGTTAATACCAGTGTACCGCACAAGGCGGTGGCGGAAGTTTCAAAAATAGGAAACCTATTGGAGAGATTGGTTGTTGTGAATCAGGGATGGCAGAGTGAATCATTTTGCTTGAGGTCTCCTCTCTTTCTCTCTTTTTCTCTCTGTTTCTCTCTCTCTCTCTCTGATTATCTACCTACCTACCTACCTACTGATCTATCTGTCTACCTATCTATCTATCTGTCTGTCTGTCTATCTACCTACCTACCTACCTATCCATCTATCTACCTACCTACCTATCTATCTACCTATCTACCTATCTACCTACCTATCTATCTATCTATCTATCTATCTGCCTGTCTATCTATCTATCTATCTGTCTGTCGATCGATCGATCTATCTATCTATCTATCTAACTATCTATTTGTCTATCTATCTATCTATCTTATCTGAACTTATCTTATCTTATCTTACTATCTATCTATCTATCTATCTTTCTACCAATCCGTCTACCTATCTATTTATCTATCCATCTACCTATCTTTCTTTCTACCTATCTATCTACCTATCTGTCTATCTATCTATCTATCTATCTATCTATCTATGTATCTACCTATCTATCTATCTATCTATCTATCGATCTATCTATCTATCTATCTAGCCATCTATCTATCTATCTAACTAACTAATCTAATCTAATCTAATCTAACCTAATCTAATCTATCTAGCTATCTATCTATCTATCTGCAAGCTTGAAAACTAAGCAATTCTGCGACACCTTTTTAATTAATTGAACCCAACAACATCCAAAACGAAACAATTCTGCGAGACTTCTTCAATTTTGAACTTGGCAACATCAAAAACAAAACAATTCTGCGAGACTTCCTTCAAAAATGGAAGGTTGAGTGCAGCGCTGACAGCCTCGTACCAATAAGTTTTGCGATTTTTCTACTCCACCCATCGAAAGCCAGGTCATACGAAGTGCTGCACCTGTCACGCAAAATCATCTCAGCAAACCTGAAGATCTGATGCTCCAAAATGCAACCACTCTCAGGAAATGAGCGCCCTGACCTCCGAACATCTCTGATGAACATGTCTTTTGTACTGCGCCTGCCACGCGAAATGCATCTTTGCAGATCCTCTTCAAATGTCCCACGCCTGCCATCGTTTCTGGAAATGCTGCAAAACCCTCACGTTTTGCTCACTTTTGACAAGGTGCACAATCCTTTGCGCCTGCCACGCAAAACGACATCTGAACCTCCAAAAGTGGCGCGAACATGCGGTGTTTTGTACATCTTCACTCCGAAATGTGCTTCGCGCCACAACGGCGTGCACTTTTCCGACATCTCAACTTCCAAAAGTGGTCCGACAATGGTGTGTTTTGTACATTTTGACTTGGACATGTGTTTCGCGCCACAACGGCGTGCACTTTTCCGACATCTCAACTTCCAAAAGTGGTCCGGACCTGGTGTGTTTTGTACATTTTGAGTTCCAAATGTGCTTCGCGCCACAACGGCGTGCACTTTTTCATCTCTCATCTCGCCAGCTGGCTCTGCACCCGCCGCTTTAGCGAGCCTACTCTCGACCCTCCGGAGCCTCAAATCATTGGAAAAACATAGTGTTTCGCGACTTTTCTACCTTTTCGCGCATCTGCATCTTCTTTCTTCTGACCCTTTCTCTTCTCTGATCTTCTCTCTTCTAATCTTTCTCTTCTCTCTGCCTCTGCCCTGCTCTGCTTTTCATCTGTCCATATTGTCGGAAGTTTGACTTCTAAACTTCCTTCGATTAATGGTTCGAATATATGGTTAATGATGGTTAATAAAAACCTGGGTGTTGTTTTTTTAACCATCTTGAAAAATCATGGAGTTCGTCAGCTGGGAAGGATGACATATTATGGAAAAGTAAAATTCATGTTCCAAACCACCAACCAGATTATGGATTATAGCGCCAAAAAAATCACCATACTTCCAACCACTCTAACCAGCTGAAGTTGTTTTGTTTTTTTAAACTTGAGGGGAATACGAACGCTAAGCGAAGAGGATCGAAGAGGGGGGAGTAAAAAAGAGGGGCCGTGGCCGAAGTAAGGAAGGAAAGAGCTTAGAAGTGAGAGAGAAACTGCAGGCGACAGAAAGATAGAACATGGAGCTTGACCTATCTTGATGACATGCGTAACGCGTATCTTCAGCCATGCCCGGCGCTTTTTGTATGAAATCTAGCAACCAACACAGAAAGAGCCTGCTGCATGATGCCGGACAAATGTGTTACCACATCAACATGTCTAGAACAACAGCAAGCAGAAAATACAAGCTCAGCATGTCTCTTTTGGGATCTAAAAGATTTACAGTAAAAAGAAAGGCCATCTCCATCGGACCTTTACGGGGGCGCCACCTTCCCCACATCAACCGGCATTCCACCAAGCTCCCCCACGACACCAGATGCACCTGACTGTGATCCCGTAAGTCTCCAAAACAAATTGGCAAATCGTGGGGAATGCCGCTATGCCAAAATCGAGTGCTTTAGAACCAGATTTTCCTCTTGGTCAATGACCAAGGAAATGCTGTAGATGGAGATGTTCCCTGGGCTGGCTTGGCTATGGAATGTGCTGAAACCCTCTGAATTTTCATTGCCTGGCATGATTTGGCATATTCGAATTGCTGCTTTGAAAACATCGTTTTGTCTACATACGCATGTAAAGAACATATCGGCAATCACACATGGCTAGCTGGACAAGTCACCATTCAGTTTGATGATTTTCCCTTTAACACTCCCATTTTTCAGGAGACTTCCCAGCCAGCCATGTTACCAAAGGGTGGAACCCTACATCTTGAGCGAGCTGTCTCCATGTCTATGAAGTCATTCAATTGCTTGATGTACCCGGTATTGTTGGGAAATCCTCCATTTCTAGTTGGTTTTCCCAGCTATAAACTTCCATATATATTTATAGGGGATTTCCCAGCGAGCCACGTTTGATTACCAAAGGGTAACTGTTTATTGATGACACCGGAAGGCAAGTTTTAGGGTTTGGGGGCAAGGTTGAGGGCTTCCCCGTTGCACCTGCGTTGGCGGAAGCCTCCGCTGCTTGGGTGGTTGTGTTGATGTTGTGTTGAACCTGCGTGGGGCGGGCGCAAAAGCCATTGGTCCAAAAAGACCCTGTCACCTCTCCAAAAAATATTGTATATTCCAACTTTCAACCATGATAGTATGATATATTCAGTATATTTTGATTAGCATATTTCTACTTTCAACCATCATAATTGGATGAAATCTCACTTCATAAGTGGATCAGAATCGTGTTTGGTAAGCCATAGAAGCAAGATGAAGCAACAATATCCCATGTACAAGTGGCTTGCTAACATATGTGTATAGTTAATATTAACATTATGTATATGGGGGGTTCTTCAAATGGGGGAATTTCAAAACAATCGGTTTCAATCCTAACATGATCTAATTTTGGATGATTTGGTGGTACCCCCATTTTATGACACCTCCATACACACATATATGGTAACTACATTTAAATACGAGCAGGTATTTTAGATTACCTTCGGGAAGGTTTTCCTCGGCCCGCCCGGCCATCTAAACATACGGAATCCAATTCATTTTGTATATATGTATAATATATATAAGGTTTGGCTTTCAGCACCCCACGCTTGCTGTATTGCCCTGAACCTTAGCGGGTCTTTGTGACGACCGACCCGCGGGCTCCTTTGCAGCGATCTGCTAGCTGCCGGAGCCTTTGCAGTGCGCTTTTGCGCTCTTGCGCTCTGCGGATCTTGAGCTGGTCCGCATCGCCTTTGCTCAAACAGCTCGACTACTCCGATCCTGATCTACCTGGACAAGCCTACCTGGTGCGGTTTGACTTGGTCACCGTACGTTGGTTCCTTTCTGGTATTTAGGCTTCGGTTCCCTAGGACAAAGGTCCTGGGACGGGTTTCCAATTCACTGCCTTAAATTGGTTTCGGGGTTTTCTACATCAAGACATTCACCCTCACGATCGGGCTCTTGATGCATATTGTGCTTCTCTCGGTGTTTGCGATCCAATTGGTCTTCTCCGGTTTTGATCAACGTTGGTCTGCCTTTCACCACGGCATCGACAACACAGAGGCGGACACAGCGCAGGAAACGTGCCTCAGCCAGGCGTTTGTGGTTTCTACATCGTCGTGGGCTTCTTCGTCTCTCGCAAGGGCGACTCAAGCACATTTTCCAGGTGCTCCGTCATCACCATTCGAAGGACGAGACCTTTTTGAGCCTCATTGCAGCTACAATGACGGACCACACTCCGTGGCGCTGCCTTGGATGCAAACAACTCAGGAAGCACTCAGCGAGTCACTGTCATGTCTGCCAGCAGCCATGGCAGGTGGTTTTGGATCGGACATATGTCCACCAGCCCGGTGGACAGAGATCTCAAGAGATGTATACCAGTGGATGGAACTACAATCAGGGCTGGGAGAACCAACAGAATTGGGGAGGCCGAGATCGTTCTCAGAGCCGCTCCCACACACCAAAGAAGGGTCGCAAACCGAAGGGCGCGAAGACGCCACGGAGCACGGCCCCAGAGGGAAAGGGGACACCTATGATGCCATTCCCTCCAGCCCACAGTTTTGGGAAGGGTCAGCCTCTTCCGCCGCCTCCGATGCCCTGGCCGGGCTATCAAGGGATGGCACCAATGGCACAGCCCATGATGATGCAGCCCCCCATGCAGCCGATGACTGCGCCCATGCCTCCAGTGGCACCAGCACCGCCACAACTGGCACAGACGATAGCGCCGGTTGCGCCGCCCTTCTCAGCGCCGGCCCCACCACAGGCATCGATGAGTTCGGAACAGATGGAATTCATCGAAATGGCCAGAGCCAGGCAATCAGAACTCCCTGCAGATATGAGGCATCAAATGCAAAAGATGGCCAAAAAAGAGGGAGCCAGGGCCACCAAGGACTTGCACAGCGCTGTCAAACAACTTGGCATCGCACGAGCAGAAGTCGAGGAGGCCATTCAAGCCCGCATCAATCTGATCGCGTCTTGGAAAAATTTTCTTTCAGAAGCGGTCAAGACGTGGCAAGACTACACGGTCCTGTTTCAGACGCAAGAGAGAGGACTTCAGGCAAGGATTCTGGAAGCTCAGGAAAGCTTTGCGCAAGCAAAGAGCCAAGCTGCGGAGTCCCAGCTCGTTGCGGGCAAGCTGACCATCGAGATCAAGGACGAGGACGACGACCCCGCAGAGGGACAGGAGTCAGCGAACCTCTCCGCGGGCAAGATCAACGAAGGGTTGGCCACATTGTCTGCGTCCTTACAGCAGATGAAGGAACAGGCAGACGCCATTGTTGTGGAGGAGAATGCGGCGAAGAGGCAGCGTACTTCCCAACATGGGGAGCAAGCTATGGAGGTGGGCGAACTGGCCGATTCCAATTCTTCGTCCAAGCCGCCTTTTGCCTCGCCCGGCTGTCCATGACGTTCTCGTATGACAGTCTAGGGCTTTGCCGCCACTGGAGTGTGGATACTCCAGGCCCCATTATCAAATGGCACAACAGAGCAGTGCTCAAAGAAGAATTTGTATCTGAATGGAAGGCCAGAGACCTTGCTTTGGGGCTTGCAAGTGAACTGTCCGGTCCAACAGCTGCGTCTTCTTCCTCTTGGACTACCCCATGGAGTTCCTGTCATGGTGGTCGTTCTTCTATACTTGAACTTGAATCTCCTTCGAGAAGGACAAGAACCAAAGCTCTGCATGTGGGTTTTGCTGAGCCTGTGGACGTATGGATAGGTTGCGAAGACTCCTTTCAAATGTACCACACCTTTGGTTCTTTGGAATCCTTTTCTACAAGGACATCGCCATGGAGCCGCCCAAATTTGGAGGATGAAGAGTCCAGTCACAGAACCTTTGACCTCATTGCGACTTCAGATTCATCAAGTGGCATTTTTGTGAGAGGTCTGAATCCACGACCTGTGTGGGCTCAAGACATTTTTGAACTTCTACAACAAGAAGGACAGCCTGAGGCAGACGATGATGAACCGGTCGTGTATGTCACATCGTACTTCATTGATCATGCTGTTCATCCTCACCATTCTCAACCTCGGCTCCTGCGCTTTGACATGGACGTGCTGGAATGGGAGCGAGACGTGTGCCTGATCTGGGAAGACTACATCGATGTCACTATTCCCTTTGATGTCACCATTGTTCGGCCTGCGTCCCCACATCAGATCTTTCCAGATGCTGCTGCGACTGCCATCGTTCACCAACGTGCTAACTTTGACAGGGCAGCGGCTCTGATCACTACAGTGCACATCATGGACCCGACAACAAGGTTTTCTGAATGTGCTCATTCCTTTCCTCGACAAGTTGACACTGCAGAAGTGCTACAAGCTGCACAAGTCGCAGAACTTTGTCAAGAAAGAAGATCATCAGGTTTTGGAGATTGCACACTTCATTCAGGGCAATTGTTACTGCCAGATGGACACCAACATCAGCTTCATCATGGCATCGGTCTTCATCTGCGAATCCCTCCTGCTCTTAGTGAGGCTGAGCAAGAGCAAAACTTCGAGAGAAGAGTGCGACAAAGACAACTCCAACACCCTCCGCATGCATGGAATCCTGCTCCTGAGGCAGATTCTCCAGAGACGCAACGACCAAGGCCTGCCGATCAACATGCAGGCCCAGAAGATGCAACTTCTTTCATGGCTAGCTCACTGACAATTCAAGATGCAGTGGTGTCTTCGTCCTCTGGGAGAAGCTCCAGAAGCAGGACAAGCTCTTCATCATCATCAAGGTCCATCTCCATTTCAAGTGAAGCTGAGGATTGGCGCCAGACTGTGATCTTTTCACTGGACGGCAGATCCATTTCTACACAACTTCCTTGGCATGATCAAACTGAGCTCTACAGGCTCGCAGCAAGGGAATTTGATATTGAGTCCCTAGACATCATACGACTTCACCTTGTACTGCACCGACCTCTGGATTATGTGCAAGTTGATTTGCATGGACTTTTGCTGCAACGGACCACAGAGGGCAGACCGACCCCCTTTGAGCGTCTTGTTCTTTTGGATCTGGAACTGCATGTTGACAATGACGTTCAGCCTACACCGTTCCGCAGACATGTGCGTTGGGTGCCGTATGCCACAGATCGTGCATCCTTCTTTCATTTTCTGGGTCTGGCAAGAGTTCTGGCTGAACATGGAGACATATGTTACATGTGGCGCAATAACATTGTGGTCCCGCAGCGCGACACCTCCCCTATGAACTTCTTGGACGGTGATTATGTCAAAATTTTTGTCGGGGATGCTGACATGCAGGAACTGTGCATTTCGGAGTCGGATGCTGCCATAGAGGACAATGCCACTGTTTCAAATGCTTCAGATGATGCCAGCAGCTTCTTTCAGAGATCAGTTACGCAATTCCAACAAGCCATCCACGGTCTGGGTCAGCAACTCCAGGTCGTGGAGCTCAAAACGGATCCTCATCCTCCTGATCCTGTTGGAGTACCTCTTGAGCAACCAAGCAGAGTCCCAGCGCCACGACGCACCAATTTCAACAGGGGCTTTCATCCAGATGATCAAAGACGCCTGGCCAGACTTTTTGAGAGAGAGGCTTTTGTTGAGTGTGAGGAAGAAGGAAGAGTTGCCTATATTGAAACGTGGAATATCCACCAGCAGCACCGCCTCCACTGCAGAGAATCACGCCCTATGAAACTTTATGACAATCCTCATCAATGGGCAGAAGAAATCCTGGCGCTTTGGGAAATCATTGAGGAGCAAGAGAATGACATCATCATCCATGTGGTTCAGCCCTCACCACAGTGCACGAGATTTCAGTGCGTGCTGGCCCACGTCATTATTGAACAAGCTCCTCAACCCAACATGAATGTGGGCATCATCTCAATTGAAGCTTCTGATCACCGTGGAACCTCCATTGAGCACGAAGCCCATTCACTGCCGGACATGATGGGTCGCAACATGGTTCTCAGGAAAGCCGAACTGGAAGTCTTCTGCCAGACTAGGATATGCTCAGTGAGATTAGGTGCTTTTCCCTTTGGGCTGGTTGACATCGAAGAGATTCCTCGTGCAGTATGTCTCACGATCCACATCAGACCGCTCATCTTTCAGACGGACGAGTCCGACCACATGGAACTCATGCAGCGGCCCCATTCGAGATGGAGAAAACCTTCTGCACCACAAGCGGGTCAAGACCTTTCATCATCACCGGCACGTTGTGAGGGCACAGCTTTTGTCTTCAATCCTGAGGCCCCTGCATTTGACCCCGTTGCACCGGCTATAGGCTCCATGCCTGAGCGCGTTCAAGACTTATATCATGCGTGGCAACAAACGGCCTTTAGTTGGGAGGGTGAAAGTGCATCCACAATGATCATTACATGGTTCGTGGATCAGCACAATATGGCGCTTCATCACTGCCGTGCACCTCGTGTAGTGCGTCTTTACGATGATTTTGCCCAGTGGGAAGCTCATCTCCGACAAGCCTGGTGGGATGTTGCTCTCCCGGGAGCTCCCATCACGATTCATGTTGTGGAGCCACATCCTGCCAATGTGGACTATGCCCATGTGCTGGTCATTCAAAATCCTCTTGATCAGTTCTCCACCAGTCTGATCACTGGGTATGATCACACAATGAATCATCCTGGACCAGTTTTCCAGCTTGCAATGACAACGCCAGAAATCCTTCACTACGATCAACTCCTTCTGGCCCTTGGTTTGGGTGGTCGATGCCTTTTTCCAGGCTCACCCGCACGCTGCTCAGTTCATTTTGGCAATTATGAAATTTTCCAAGGCATTCCTTTTCCGGCCCGGGATGGACATGGACTCAAAGTTCGGATCATGCAGAGACCGACTTTTCAAGACATGCGGCAACAGGCTGCGGCACCTGTTTTATTACAGCTGTCAGCTCTGATTCATCACAAACGGGGTAGTGAGCGCCAAACAACTGCTTCGGTGGCTCATGAGCAGTGGCCACTCCCCAGTGAAATCGATCCGGACGATCCAGACTTGAACGATTCAACTCTGACTGCGGTCAAGATTAAGTGGATGCTTAGTCCTCAACCGCACCCAGACTTTGTCACACTTTCTTCTGCATCCAACCGAGCGGCAGAAGAAGAAATGAGTCAATGGGGACTTCATGTACTGCCAGTCCTGTGTCCCGAACGAAACACCTTGGTTTGTCTTCAACCCAGGGATGTGACGTCGGATGTCTTTGACTATGTCTTGGTCAATTTGAACAAGGATGACGATGTCGACATTATTGTCCACTCGACTGACAGAATCATGGAGCAGCAAGAGCTCATGGGCCTTCTTTATCAGTTTGGATTTTGGCGAGCGGTGATTGAATCGCAGGAAGTTTTGGATTTTTCGGTTTACAAGATCAACTTCATTGACCAGCAAGTGGCCACCATGCAGCGACCTCGACACATCATCAGGGAGTCGACCTGGCCAGAGGCACAATATAGTTCTGATCGACACGAGCCTTTCTTTCAGAAGCCGCATGAAGCTAGTACCTCCTGCATGATTGACTTGGGTATTACCACACAGGACCTCATGCACCTCTTTGAGTCGCACCAGCAATGCTTACGTTCTGATTTTGATGGGCTTGACATACCGCAGGTGCTCCGAGACGCAATCAACGCTTGTGACACAGATCTTCAAGATCACCAATTGGACCGCTTGCTCATTTATGCAGACGGGTCTTCACTGGGATCAGCCAAGCACCTCGCCCCGCTTCGAGCAGAGGAAGAGGGCACAGGTGACACATGGGCCTATGTCATTTTGGGCGAGAGATATGAACCTCCTGGTCTGCGTTTCATCGGGTGGACAGCACATCCCGTCATCTACGAGGCCCACCACAAGGCTCATCTGGGAGCGAGCCGAGTTGGAGCAGATGTTGCGGAGCGTGAAGCTCTTTCATGGTCAGCATTGTGGCGACTCAGCCAAAACTGGAAGATCCCAACTTGCTTCAGATCAGACTCACGCACAACTCTGGGCCAGGCCTCGGGTGATATTGGCACTGCGCAACCTGATGAGACCTTCAAGATCCTTCGAGGGTCGTTTCAAGCGTTAGAAGCCGCTTTGGGGCCCCATGGCATGCAATACTCCCATGTTCCTGGACACTCTGGTGAAGTTTGGAACGAGATGTGTGATTGGCTCGCAAAAGCAGAGCGAGAGAAGAGCTTCTACTGTCCAAGACCGAGCATCAGCATGAGAGATTGGAGCCAAGTCATTGATTCTCTCTGGCTAGTTTTGGATCCACGAGATGACCTTCCTAAGTTTTGCGGAAGAGGCCTTCATGCACCACCTCCTCGACTTCCTGACCCTCAGAATGTTGGCGTGAACGCACAACATGATGAGACCAATGTGGGGGTGACATGGGAAGCTTTCACTCTGAGTATCAGCGCATGCACAGCGAATGTTGGCTCACTCAGTGCACCTACTGAAGGTTGCAGTGGCAAGATTGACTTTCTACGTCGACAGTTCATTGACTTCCACTTCAACTTCCTGGGTGTACAAGAGTCCAAATCTCCCGAATTTTGCTCATGCGTTGACAAGGTCCTTCGCCTCAGCTCGGGTTGCCACAAGCACCAACAAGGTGTGGAGCTGTGGATCAATTTAGCGCAACCATATGGCTACATCAACAAGAAGCCCATCTTCCTGGAAAGACAGGAGATTCAAGTCGTCCACAAGGATCCCAGGATACTCCTTGCTCGGGTTGAGACCCCCATCTGGCAATGTTGGCTTCTTGTGGCGTATGCACCGCAGTCAGGACTTCCTCTTGACCAACGGGAAAGATGGTGGACGGAATTGTCAGAAGTTGTGCACCGCCGTGATGCAGGAGAACAACTCATTGCCATGATTGACGCCAATGCAGCGCCGGGGGGAAGGGATGATGTTGCAGTTTTCGCTGAAGGTCTGTCTGACTCAGTCAACACCCCACTTTTCCGAGGATTTGTGACCGAACAGGACCTCTTTCTTCCCTGCACAACAGCTGCGCATCAAGGCGACACTGCCACCTGGACAGATCCTACAGGGGTGCATCATCATTGCATTGATTATGTTCTGCTGTCGAGACATTTTATTGATGCTTGCAGTCTCTCAAGGGTTGTCTCCGACTTTGACCTGGGTACATCTCATTGGGATCACGAACCCACGGCTGTCCATCTGGTTTGGACATGCAGGGTCCCGCAGCGACCACGGCGACGACAGCAGGGCCTGGGCTTTGACCCCAATCGCATTGAGCAGCAAACAGTCCAACAGGTTCTCCAGAGTTACCACCCCAAGTCATGGGATACTGACATTGAAGAGCAGGTCAATGATTTCAATCAACATGTGATATCAGGTTTACGCACGGCCTGCCCACTGTCGAAAACTCAACCGAAGAAGCCCTACATCACGGAGAAGGAGTGGCTGATTCGCGATGACAAACTGAGAACCAGGAAGAGCCTCAAGGCCCTTGCAAGACGACAGAATGATGAGAGACTGGGAGTCTTCTTTCGAGCTTGGAAGCATGGCAGCGGCAGCTCTCTTCCAGATCAATGTGAACATTACTGGTCTTACCAGAACTACCTGGGATGCGCCAACCTTCGATTGGTGGCCAACTACAGGAGAGCTGCGGTGAATTTGAGGAACACTCTGAAGAAAGCAAAACAGAGCCACATCAAGGACAAGTTCATGGACATGCCAGCAGATGCCCCAGCCAGTCACATCCTGCGTGAACGAACTGAGACCGATCCTGGGACCCTCCAACCTCAAGAAGCTCAAGGTCCAGACATTGCCGTACATTCGGAATGCCGCTGGCGAGGTGTGTAGTCTCCCCAGCGAGATGGTTGAAGTCTGGTTGGAATTCTTCCGCCAAATGGAGGGCGGTGTGAGGATGGACAGAGTACAACAACGTGAGATCTGGCGGAGCAATCTTGCATCCCTGCAGCTCCATGATTTCCAGATTGATGCGAAAGAGATTCCAAGCTTGTTGGATCTTGAGGGAGCCTTCCGACGTGTCCATCCCAACAAGGCCACGGGCCCTGACAAGATTCATCCGGCCTTTTGCAAAGCCAAACCACAGCTTTTAGCAAGAGCGACCTTCAACCAACTGCTCAAGCTGACAGTCCATGGTCAGGAGGCTTTAGCCCACAAAGGAGGGATGCTCTGCCCCATTTGGAAATCGAAAGGCCCCAAAGATGAATGCACAGCCTATCGCAGTATTCTGGTGTCCAGCTTCATAGGCAAAAGCTTACACAGGAGTCTGCGTCAACGACAGTGCACTTTGTTTGAGAAGTTCCTACAGAAGGAGCAACTGGGAGGCAGACCCAAAGTACCTGTCACCTTGGGAGTCCATTTGGGACGAGCCTTCATGCGAGCCCGCAAACAACAGGGACACAATATTGCCATGCTGTATTTGGATCTTACAGAAGCATTCTACCGCATCCTTAGACAGCTTGTTGTGGGCGGACCGACCTCTGATGAGCTTATTATGCATGTTGGACAGCGTCTGGGCATGTCGACTGACTTGATGAAGGACTTGCACAACCTGCTTGATGAGCCCACCGCTTTGGAGGCTGCGGGGTTGCCTGCTCACATGCGGAATGCCATCCGAGCGATCCATGTGGACACGTTTTTCACAGTTCGAGGTCAGCAGGACGTCTGCCGGACTCAGCTTGGCTCTCGCCCAGGCGACTGCTTTGCAGACATCATCTTCTCCTATCTTTGGAGCAGCATTCTTCACAAACTACAACAGACTCTGTCGGACATGGACCTTGTTGACACGATTCCGGATGAATCCGGTCTCCGCTTGCCAGGCAGCTCACAGCAGGATCCATCTCCAACCAGAGACTTCTTAGGTCCGACTTGGATGGACGACACGTGCATTTGTGTCTCAGATCCATCGCCCTCGATCCTCGAAAGCAAGATCCATCAGGCAACAGGGCGTTTGCTGGAGCTTTGCGACACCCATGGACTGACACCCAACCTGAATGCAGGCAAGACAGAGGCCTTACTTGTCTTTCAAGGGCGGGGCTCCAGGAAGTTGAAGATCAGATATTTTGGCCCCTCTTCCGACAAGTCCCTGCTCATTGTTGGCGAACGAGAGCCTCGCAGAGTGCGTGTGGTAGCCCAATACACTCATCTTGGATGCGTGATGCACCACAAAGGCGATAGCCGTGTTGAGGCTCGCCGACGGATTGCAGTGGCGCAACAGGCCTTTTCCCAGCACAGGAAGCATCTGCTGCAGAATCCAATTCTGCCCTTACATCGTCGCCTGGAGCTTTTCCGCACGCTTGTAATGAGCAGATTTTGCTATGGAACGGAATCCTGGACGCTATCTGACAACAGGAACAAGGAGTACATCCACAATGCTCTTATGCGACTGTTCCGGCGCTTGCTGCCACGGGCACATGATGAACACCTCACTGATGAGGACATCCTGACACAGGTTGGCATCAACAGCCCCACGGAACTGCTCCGACTGGCTCGCCTTCGATATTTGGGCACTTTGCACAAGTGCGCTGATCTCGTGCCGTGGGGGCTCCTGAACAGCGACTCTCAATGGATCACACTCATCCAAGATGATCTTGGGTGGGCTTGGCGCCAACTTCGTGGAGCTTCAGGACTACCTGATCCCCTTCAATCCTTGGCGGCCTGGCAGAATATTTGGGTCTTTCATCCATCGTATTGGAAACGACTCATTCGCCGAGCCGGAGAACATGCGATCCTCCAGAGACAACGACATCATCGAGTTGAAGGTTTTCACTTGGCATTTCTGGAGCTTTTCCGTGAAGCCCGAGCAGATAGCTTTGTGAGAAAGGAGGATTTTCATGCTCCTGAAGCTGTCAATCCATCAGATGAGGTCAGCCATGCCTGTATGACCTGCAGACAAGTTTTCCGCAGCAAGGGGGGCATTGGTGCCCACCTTTTCAAAAGACATGGCACCATCTCCAGGCTTCGCACACTGTTTGACACCACCTGCTGCGGACACTGCTTGAAAGAGTACCATACATTCAGCAAACTGCACGCACATTTGCGATACTCTCTCTTGTGCAGGGTTGCACTCTGGGGCAGCAGGCGACGCTACAACCCGACAGGCGGCTCAGGTTCTGCAGCAGATCGCGCGTTATGCCAACAGCATGATGGACTACTCCCACCATTGCAGGCAGCAGGACCCAAGCTTCAAGACCAACACAACATTGAACTCCCAGATTTCGATTTACTTCTGGCTGAGCAGATCTACCTTGACATTCTGGAGAATGAAGGCAACGAAGAAGTTGAGCTAGTCGTCAGAAGGACCATTGAACAACACCCTGTTACCTGGGCTGTTTGCCGTGCGACCCTGGACTACTTGCGGGGGGCCATGACGGAGCAGGACATTCAGGCCCTCAATATCGGGGACTTTGACATCAAGCGCCTCCTTCGAGACCTTCAAGATGAGCGGGCGTGGCCTTTTCTCAGGGAGCCAGCAGTCGGTCAGCAGCACCCATCTGGGAAACCTTCGCTCGAAGAGATTGAGCAGATGTGTTTGGAAGAAAGCAGTGGTGGGCCCAAACGTGAGCCTTTCTGGCCGGTCCCTCGACCTATGGCCCGTGAAAGGTTCATCATCCATGCCTTCTCGGGCCGGCGGCGGCTCGGCGATTTTCAGCATTTCATCGACCAGGCGCAGCAGAGCTTCCCTGAGGTCACCATCTATACCATCTCGGTGGATTTAATGGTAGACCCCGTCTGGGGAGATGTGTCCAAGGAATCGGTGAGGCAGTTTTGGCTGCATGCGGTCCGCCAGCGCCAGGTTGTAGGCGCGATGGCCGGGCCGCCCTGTGAGACTTGGTCACAGGCCCGTGGCCAAGAACTTCCAGGTCTGCAGACTGGCTCAGGTCGCAAAGGACCGCGCGTCCTGCGTGAACAAGACTGCCTATGGGGCAGGGCGGCGCTTGCCTTAAGAGAAGTCCGCCAGTTGGACGTTGGGAACCTTCTCCTGCTCTTCACCCTCGAGTTGCTGATTACCCTTGCCTTGGAAGGCGGGGTGGGCGGACTCGAACATCCAGGCCCTCCATCTGATCCTACGAAAGCGAGCATTTGGCGGCTGCCGCTGATGATCTTTCTCTGTGAGTGGCTGGAATTCAATTTTTTGGAGGTTTCCCAAGGCCTTTTTGGGGCTCCAAGTAGGAAGCCAACGGGCCTGCTTCTCCTGAATATGTCACGCATGGTGCCAGAACTTAGAAAGTGGCAACTGACCACTTCCATGCCCCGTGGCACAAGCATTGGCAAAACCGCCACAGGAGAATGGGCCACAGGGATTCTCAAAGAGTATCCGCCCGCCTTTTGCGCAGGCTTAGCTAACGGTTTTGTAGCCACGCTCCGATCCCATCCAACGGACTTGGAATGTGAGATCCTCAACGATTTCCGAAGGCAGGCAGCACAGATGGTGGTCACTCACCAAGGCCCTTGTATAGGCCCGGATTTCGCTGGCTGAGATCTCATTCCTTTTTCCCCATGTGAGGGGGCCATTCCTGAATTCATGCTAGGCCGCAGCACCTGAGCTTCGTTGTGCCTCGAGAGAAAAATAATATATATATATATGTATTATAAATTATACCCTCCAACATAATGTACCAACCATTGACCAACTGGGATGGTCAACCAAATGCCCATCTTTTTTGTGGTCTCAAATTGCCCTTTGGGAAGTCGAGATCCATCATCCAGAGTACCGAAATATGATGCCAGTTGCCTCTTCCCCTAAGATTGAAAATACTCTCAGAAAGGGGGCACATGTTTTAAACATGTTTGGTTCACCATGCTTAAAGTAAGGAGAGGCACACTCAAACTTCGAAGACTTCATGTAAGAGTTGCTCACAAAATCCAGTTTGAACTATATATAGATATATGCCTTACCTTAGAAGAATCATTCAATCATCATCCCGTGGCAATTCCCCATAGGCAATTTTTCGTCATTTCGTAAAATCTTTGCAACCAAGGCATAGCCCTAGGCCCCGAGTCCCACGGAACATTTTTGGCCCGCCACACTGGACACGGAAGGAGATGGGGGGTCCTTCATACCCCCGGCTTGCGGCTTTGGTTGGTCGTTGATGGTCGTTGGAACCATGGCAATGCAGTCAGATTTTCCCCCAAATCTTGGAGAAGGATTGAGGTGTAGGATCCTTGTTGGATTTAGCTGAAGAGCTTCGTGTAATCAACACCTACAGGAGCGCTCATGAATATATATATATACATATATGTATGTCTCGATACGCCAGCTTTATAAACTTTAGACATGCCAGGGGTCCCAGGTAACCACACCATATTTCTGGGTGGAGTTCTTTTTTCTTTTTTCTTTGTTCGTTTAAGATCCAGGCATCAAGTCAATGAAAATTGCGTCGACCAACCAAGCGCGACATCTCCCAGATGGAACGAGTGGAGGATGGGTTGAACCCCATGGGTTCCGGTTTTGGATTTCTCCATCAGCTGGGTCCATTCGCCTACAGTGATTAATGGTGATTAATGATGGTTATTATGGTGATTAATGGTGATTAATGATGGTTATTATGGTGATTCATGGTGATTGATGATGGTGAATGATTAATGATGGTTATTATGGTGATCATCTGGAGAATTTGACTTCTTTGTCAATGTGCAGAGTAAAACACATTTCTTGTCTTCAGTTCTGTGGAAACGTCATGGAGATATTGAACCTCCAGTCAACATGACAATTAGAGATGTTATCTATTGGCTTCTCAGAGCAAGACACCAGGCGTTAAAATTTTGGGCCTAGTGATTTTTGTTTGGTGCTCTCCATATATATATATATATATTATTGAATATATAATATATTGTATAAAACTATTCTTTGCACACATCAACGTGCCGTTGCATCACAAATCATGCTGGTAATCTGCAACCGTGCTGGTTGAGATCCCCGTTGCTACATAACTCACTCCTTAAAAGGGTACTTGTCAATCGATGTTGTAAATTCAAAGCAATAGATGCTAAGCCATGCTATTTTCATTCTTTTTGTTGGTTTTCCGGATCTGTTACGAATAGACACCCATTTCGTTGTCTTGGTTGTGTTCCCTTTTTGTTGTTGTAACCCATTCGTTGTTGAAACCGTCGTCCAAGTCTTGTTGACCTATGGCCAATGGTATCATTGCAAGTTTGCTTTTCCTCTGATGCTGCTGGTTATCACTTTATTCAAGGTTTGATCAATAATTCCCACGCGTTGAGTAGATGGCAACATATCTTCAGGCCTTTACTAGTGTCAGTTGCTCTGATAGGAATTCCAATGGATTTTTCATCCCGACTAAACTAGTCGTCTCGCTCCAACCACCAAGGGTTCTACGCATTGCTCTTATGACAGCTCAGAGAATTGTTGATCGTAATTTTAATGCCCACTGGTTGCGTAGATATTTCCACTCTCGCGAATATTCTTAAATTAATTTGTATCACCTTGGCTAATCTGAACTTTCAAGCTGGCTTATTGCAACATATTGAAGTAAAACACTATCCATCCAGTCGTTGACCCAGTTATAAAAGCATGTATCAATATATCTATCAGCTATATCCCAATTTTTCTGAGTCAACTTCCAATATTTTCATATATGTTCTTGCTATGGCAACCTCTTGAACCCGTGAATCACTCCGGCATCGGAAGCAAACCGCACATGGAGCGATCTCCTCCACCACAGCCTGGCACCAAAGATGGAGATACGGTGGATGGGCCAGCGAAATCCTGCACCAATAGATAGGTGGTAAGCATCCCATTATTTTGTTGGGGTTTCAACCATCCTTTTGGTGGTGACTTCTTCCATCCACAGTATGTTATAGTTACTATATGTTAATCTAAGCTACTATCAAAAGATATATTATTCAAAGATATATCAGGAAGATGAACGGAAATGGAGGTGTCCTAAGTCATGGGGGTACCCCTAAATCCATTTATAGATGGATTTTCCATAGACCAACCAGCTATTGGGGTACCCCCATGACCATGGAAACCTCCAACTGGTTAGGGTGAAATTCTTGGTTTTTTACCATGGACATTAAATGATGTTTAACGAGGATACACTCTGGTAATTCATGGTTACTAATGGTTAATAGTGGTTAATAATGACTGGCAACACTTTACCATCATGGTAGGTACCTCCAATTTTTAGGTTCCTGAGATGGCCATTGATTAAATGATGCTTTGCTTTGCAGTTTCAGATTTGGGCCTTTTTTTTGATCACCAGGTCAATAATGGGGTGTATGGTAGAGAAATTGAACCCGTTAATGGATATTACCCTCTGGTTATCAAAACTTATTGGAAAATCACTCGATGTTTAATGTGTAAATCATCATAGATTGTCTATAAATGGGCTATGAATGTTCCATAGCTATGTTAAATAACCAGAGGCTATGGTCAATTCCAGCCCTTGGGCGATTCTTTCCCCTCACCATCGTTCCAGTGACACAGCAAGGTCATTAAAAAAACATATCTTTAGATGGATGGGTAAATATCCAATTTATATCCTACAATGGGTAAACCATAATTTATCCAAAAAATAGTTGGCTGGTTGGTGGTTTCAACCCCTCTGAAGAATATTAGTAAGTGGGGGTTATTCTTCCCAATATATGGAAAAAAAATCATGTTCCAAACCACAAACCAGTTCGTTATAATTCCATCACCTCAATAAATTCATCCATAATGTTACCCACAAACGCCGTGTGTTGCCCAGACATTAACATTGAGAATGTCGTGCTGTCAAATATATGATAGCCTAGGTTTAGGGTTTTAGGGTTTGGGGTTTTAGGGTTTAGGATGGTTTAGGGTTTGTCGTCTGGGAAATCTCAAAACACTGGCCCTGCGCAGGTGTTTGAGCATGCTGAAGGATAATGTTTAAACATGTTTAAACGCCATTTGAACCGTCCGGGCAACACACAGCGCCTGGGCGTAATATTATGATGGAATTATAATCAATTATTATTCCTATTTACAAAACCAGAATTTATCCAAAAATAGTTGGTGATAATTCCATCCTAATCCCAACTATCCACCTCAATGATCACATTGCCAATCTGCCAGATGCCCTGCAAAAAATGACAAACTCTTTGCTGGTGAACGTAGATATTCCCATTGATACCAAAAGACGAGTTAGGATTAAAGTATCCATCTAGCCGATTGACCTAGGTATATGGTTTGTGGATGTTTATGGTCATCCCACCATCATTAGAGATTCTCTATAATGGGTTATAATGTTTTTTTCAAAATCCCTATATCACCTGACTCAGATGTCACCTTCCACCAGTTGGTTCAGCATCACCGCACTCGGGTCGTGACAGTCGTGACTGTTTGGCTCCTGTGGCGACGGGAAATCCATGGAGAGAAGGCCGGGAATTTCGGGATTTCAGCAAAATACTTAGGACTTTTACTGCTTGGTGGTTCATTGGATTGGTTTAAGGGAAAATCTACAGGAAAACCTCATATTTGGTGGGGAAAAACATTGTTTCTTGTAGATTTTCCCTTAAACCAACCCATTGAGTGGTATACCTTACCCATCTGAAAAATATGATATGAGTAAGTCAGTTGGGATGATGAAATTCCCAATATGTGGAAAGTCAAAAAATTCCATGGTTCCAAACCACCAACCACTTATAGTTAGAAACTTCATAAAAACAATATAAAACCTCTATAGTTGATATAGATTTATATATGTTCCAAACCACCAACCAGTTATAGTTTGAACAGGGAATTCTGCTGATTTTGATGGATTTCCGATGGGGATTTCAGCCAAAAAGACCTGATCTTCGGGGATATTTTTTCAACCATGAAGACCATGAAGCATTCGCGGGTAATATCTTTAAACCATGTAATGAATATATATATATAAATACTATAATACATATAAACCATATATATATATATATATTCATTACCATAATAAATTTATATATACTATCATGAATATATATATATATATATATTGAGTATAAACCATAATGAACATATAATCTGCAATATCTATAAATCCTCCCCCTTGGGAAAAATGTTTGTAGGGAAACACCCCATGTCATAAAACCGGCATTGTGGATCCCCTACGAGCCGTTGGCCATTCATTTGGGGTTGTGGATCCCCAGGATGATTTTGCCAGTTACAGCCTCTAGTTCGGGGACTTACCAGCCATGTTCGATCCATTTCACATCCATAATTCTCATAGATTATATATGGGTATGGGTCAAAGTTAGGTACCCCAAAATTATGGATGGTTAATACTAAACTAGACATTCACATCTGTGGTCCCATTAATGGTCTTCCATTTTGACCCACATCCATATGCATATCATAGATTTCAAACTAACACACATTTAGTTCCATGATGTACATGATTTACACAGTAAAATTTGCTGACTTTCCATATAGCTCTGTGAAAAATTACCAGAAAAAACACGAAGCGCAGGTCCTCTTCATCTCCGAAGCTGGACTCTGACTCCGGTGGCAAATCTCCAGGACTCAGAAGCTGCTCCTGCAGTGGTCAATCCCTTAATGGAGGGTTTGATATGTTTTAATGGGAAAATCATCCATATAATTCTATGTAATTCTGGTTGGTGGTTGACCTACCCCTCTGAAAAACATGAGTTCGTCAGTTGGGATTATGAAATTCCGAATATATGGAAAAGATGTTCCAAAGCACCAATCAGAATTATAAATATATATATATATGTATATATAATGGTGATTTTCGATAGCTATGCTAGTTCACTGGAGGGTAAGCGAGGGAGGGTATGTTTTTCTTGGTACACCCGACCCATGGAAAAAACATGTTTTTTGGGACCAAATGGTGACTGGACGAGCAAACATGGGATAAAATCGGGATTTGACTCACAAAGACTTGGGATTGAATCAACAACATTGGGATACAACCAACACTTACCCTCTGGTAAACTAACATAGCTAACTGGAAAATCACCATCTTTAATAGGTAAAACAACTATAAATGTGCCATTTTCAATAGCTATGTTAAATTACCAGAGAGTAAATTTGGAGTTCAATCCTCCGTGTTGGTGCACTTTCGACCAAAGATAGGAGCCAGAGAGTTTTGCCTCTGGGAGTTTTGGACCAGGTCCCCTGAAGAATCATCCATTGCCAATCCTACAATGTGAGGCCCCCAAGATAGCTAAGTTGGTTTATAAGCCCCAGTAACTATAGTTATAAGTACCATAAACCATAGTTATTGGAGTTATGTTCACCAACTTAGCTATCGAACGGGGGCCTCACATTGTAGAAACCCTGCAACTAACACAATTGCGCTGGTGTATTCCGATGCCGACATCCAGTAGACTATGACCTGCCAAAACTGGCAAGGCGACAGTTGTGCTCAGTGCTTTCCAGAATCCTCAAAGGTGACCGCCATGGTGAAAAAAGACTTGACAACCACCATTTTCCCCAGAAATTTGATCTAACCTATTGAAAAATAAACCACCATAATCATAATAACCAGCAGATTCTCGCCACTTTTCCCAGTTGAATCGAGATTCTTTCACGGTAAAACCATGGTAAAACGAGCGCATTTTTCGTGGTAAAAACCATGGTCAAAGCCACCATTTCTGATGGTGAAAAAAAGGCAACTTCTGGCCTCACCACTGTCTGGCACTTCGGGCCTCGAGTTGGGAGAACATCATCAAATATAGCATTGAAATGGCGAAATGGAGAATTGATACACATGAAAATCGCATTTTATTAACGATACCAGCAATAAATTTCAGTAGTTGATAACACATCCTTGATGCTAAGTAATACAATAAATTATCCAAGAAAAACTGGTTGATATATGGAGGCAATAGTTGATATATCGTTGATATATGATAACAAAACCGTGGGAAACCCATGAGACATAACTAGTTGCTATGCCATCAATAAGTAGTGGACAGCACATCTGTGATGAGAAATAATACAATAAATGATCCAAGAAAACATGATAAATTAATATATATATATATAATATGCTAGTTTTTTTCAGTTTGTGCTTTTACTTCAGTTTCGGACCCTGTCACAGATGTTGTAGGCCTGTTGTAGGTGGATTGAAAAACAAGTCCAACCACCCATCTTAGGCGAAACCTTTGCAGAGCCAAGGCGCAAAAATTCATTGCTCATCACTTCGCACCTTTGGGAAGTGCACAGCTTGGGCTGGATCACCAGGTGTATCCCCCAGGCTGTGGCTATTTTAGTTGGGGAACCTGGATGATTCAACCACTTAATTCTTGGGGATGATATGTTTTCAGACACTTTGACTTTGATCTCTCAATCCTCAATGGGATTTTGGGCATTGCTAACTACTTACATCTACTTACATCTACTTACATCTACTAAAACTATCCAGCGCAGCAGGGTTTGCTGGGTCGAAACCCAGCACCTTTTTTTCACATTCCAAAACTGCTGCTCCATTTTGATGATTCTGGGGTACACCAGGGGGGCTGAAAATCATTCCCCAACCAATAGATTGGTTTAGAAGACTTACAGGACGAGCTCCCTACAGAAATTGATGCGTAAATATCAGGCTTTCAACTGTACTGGTTGGTGGTTGAGCCCTACCCCTCTGAAAAATGATGGAGTTCGTCAGTTGGGATGATGACATTCCCAACTGAATGGAAAGTCATAAAATTCATGTTCCAAACCACCAACCAGTGTACATTTTCTCAACAAAACCAATCCCAATTTTGTAATCCCTTCTCCAAAAACACCATCGCAAACCAGGGTCCAGACAGTGGGGGTGTGTACATGTGTGTACTAGAATCAGGGGATGGGATTAGCCACAAAGTCACCGATGAACTTTCACCAATATTTTGAGGCTTCCTAAAATGGGGGTACCCTCAAATCATCCAAGATTGGATTATTTTAGTATTGAAACTCATGGGTTTGTGCAACCACCAATGCTTTCCCACCAATTTTTATTTTGAACGTCCGAGTCACGGCAAAGCAGGCACCAAAGTGGGCACCTTTCGCACGGGTGCCATTTCGGTCTGAAAATGGGCGGCACCATGGGATATCCCCTAATATCGACATTTTAAGAGGGGAACACCAATGAAAACTAATGATTCACCAGCAGACTTAGGAGTGACAAAGACCCGAGGGCAGTGAACGGATCATTTACCTATCTCAATGATTGTTACAACCTGCACGAGGTAGTCCGAGTCTGAGCCTTTTCGGAGATGATTGATTTACCAGAGGGTACTTCATCCAGCTGTTTGCTACTGGAAATGAAACATCGCGACGGAGAATCACCTGCAAATGATGGGTTTAATTCATATGGGGCCAATGTTGCACCTTGGAAAAAATGGGATGTCATTGTCTTTTTTTTTTTACTAGGGCTGGATACTCCTCTATGAATCGGCCAACCAATGGAAAAAGGATAGGAAAAGGGACATATGCCCTTTTTCAGTGTTGCAGTCCTTCACTGGTTGGTGGTATACCTACCCCTCTGAAAAATATGAGTTCGTCAGTTGGAATGATGACATTCCCAATATATGAGAAGTCATAAAACTCATGTTCCAAACCACCAACCAGTTGGTTATAATTTTGTTTTCCCCAATTTTTCTCTGCGCTTCTCCCTAGCTTCCTTACGGGTCGATTTTCCGGACCCGACATATCCTGACATAGTCGGTCGTGTAGGTTTTGGTTGGCTATACCATCTGGTTATGACTAACGGTTTGCCATGGAAAGATCCACCATTTTTAATAGGTAAACCATCTATTATTTCTATGGGCCATCTATAACATGGCTATGTTAAATAACCAGAGGGTATATTCTCCGCATTTCAACATTGATTCTATCAGCACTTTGTCGACTATAGGCATTAATTAATATTAATTATCCTGGTTATTCCTTCCCCACTTCGCTGCGCAACCATGACCCCTTTAGGGGTCCCTATAAATCCCATGGCTACGTGGAGGATCCCTGAAGAACTGGCCCGGTGCTGTCCCGCGGCCGCTAGGTCCGCTAGGTGATCAGAAAATCTCGGCAGGGCACCTCCATATCCTCTCCTTCTGGCAGGGTGAGGTACCTGTTTTTTTTTTTGGGTGCAATGACTGCCAATCTTGGATGCCCTGCAAAAAATGACAAAGCTGAACGTAGATATTCCCATTGATGCCAAAAGACGAGTTAGGATTAAAGTATCCATGTAAGATTGACCTAGGTATATGGTTTATGGATGTAAACATGGTCATCCCACCATCATTAGAGATTCTCTATAATGGATTATTCTATAATGGATAATGGGTTTTTCAAAATCCCGCGACTATCTGGATGCGGAACAGGTGGATCCTACAGGTCCGATAGAGTTGAGGTCCCCAATGGGTAGCCTGTTTTCATCGAAAAGGGCCATGTGAATTCGGGAATTTTGCGGAACACCAAGGAATCGGCCGGGGAATCAGCTGACAAAATTCCCCAAGGAATCACCCCAGGTGGTCAATCACCCACATATATCATATCTGTGTATATATATGTGTATATATGTGTATATATGTGTATATATGTGTATATACTGTGTATATACTGTGTATATACTGTGTATATACTGTGTGTATGTATATATATATATATTATATGTATATATAACTGGGGTAAATCCCACATATATAATTTGGTTATAATGTGGCTATTACCCACTTACTATCTGAGATCTAACAAGGTTTACCCGGGTCAACAGCGCGTTTTTCGTCACTGAGTCTTCCACCTGAGCACTTCCTGGAGAGCTTGGGCCACTCAAAACATATGGTTTTGTTTGAAAATGGGGCCCACTTAAATTCCATGGTTTATCATGAATGTCCCTATTAATAATAGGGATTAATAATGATTCATATGGGGATTAATGATGATTGATGATTAATAATTGTTGATGAGTAATGGGGGTACCCCAATAGCTGGGTGGGTAAGCAACAAATTTTGGGGCTATACACCATTTTCAGACAACAAAACATTCAACACCATCCAGTAGATAGGTCTTTGGCCAGGTTCATTGCCCGAAGGCTCAAGAACCATAGCGGGAAATTCATGTCCTCCAATGGAACTATGTAAAGACAATACATAGTTTTTAGATATTTCCAATTCAAGAACCATCCGCTCTATAGTTGATATAGTTCCAAAAATCACTTTCCCCACGAACAATTGCCATTTCCACGAAATAGAACATCTTGAGGTGCCATGGTTACTAAATGGCAACCACACTTTCGCCACGCATTCATTCTGGAAACCCAAGGAGCTCAGGATTCCAGCTATTCATCTATCGCTTGGCTAGTTAAAATCTACAGGAAACCATGTGTTTTTTCACTGTTTTTACACTCCAAAACTCTTTGTTTCCTTCCATTTTCCCACCAAAATCAACGTCCTCGCCAACAAGGTTCACCTCGACGGAGGCAGTTTTTGGGGCGATCGGTTGACATTTCAAAATCCGGGAACTTCACAGGAGAACTAGCCGTGGTGATGGATCCCTGTGCAAATGAATCCTCCATTTGTGGTTGTGTTATGATCACCATTGTACATATCAATCTTTCTAGACAAGTTTCTTCGTTTTGACAAAATCAAACAGAATCTCCATTCGTTGTACTGATGAGTTTATCTGCCTAAACAAGTTGGGATTTTCTCACTCAACTTGTTCATTTTAACAAATCCAACAGATTACTGACCAAAATCCCAACTTGTGTCGCCTTGATTCCCAAGTGGTATATCGTAACATCCCTTCTTCTCACGGTAAAACCAATTTGTCCTCAATTTTTCGCGGCTCAGCGTCAACAAGAAATGCCATAAATTCACCATCTTCTTGGAATTTTTGTGGTTTAAATCCGATTCTGAAACCATAAACCCACCATAAAACTCCATAAACCCACCATAAACCCATCATTTTCGCGTTTTGGTGACCTTTTGACGCCGCAAAAACCCACCGGTCCCCTCCTGGTCCCCGGGCCATGTGCGGCTCGGCGAAGTCGTGGCGCTTCAGGAGCAGAAGCCAAGCAGAGGAGGCGCTGACCAACCTTGGGGGTTGAGGATGATCATTTTCCCATTGGTTGGTTGATGAATAGAGGGGTTTGTTTACCCCTTTAACAACAGGTATACCAATGGGAAACCCCTCTATATATAATCTGGATATAATTGGATAATTAATATAACCAGAGGGTTAAGTCACTTGGCCAATGACTTTAGGTCTTTAGGTAAATTTGGATAGTTGTTGTAAGTGGATCATAATCTGGATATAATCTGGATAATTAAGTATAACTTATACAAGTATATATACATTATATACAAGATGTATTCTGATTGGTGGTTACCCAAATTAACCAGAGGGTTAAGTCACTTGGCCAATGACTTTAGATAAATTTTGATAGTTAGGTCAGTTAGGTACATCAATTCCATTCCATAGTCAGCTGTAGTCTGGGGATGATATATTATATTATGACACAATAATGTCCTTTTGGTAAAAATAGGTTTGGGCCGGGAGCTGGTATACCATCTATCATCATTTACCTGTTGGTAAAGGGGTAAACAAACCCCTTTATTAATCAACCAACCAATGGGAAAAGGACATCTATACTATGACATACCTGATATTATTGATAATTATGATTGTTAGTATTATCAGTATTATGAGAATATTAGAAATAATAATGTATTTAATATTTTTGAATCAGACTTATTATCATTATATATATATACTATCTATACTAAGTTAGTATCTAATATCTATTATTAGGACATAATTAGATGATATCATATCTAATATTTATTACTATCTAATATCTGTATGTATATATATATATATATATGTTTGCAGTATTGTCATAATGGATTAATTAGGTATATATCTATTAATATTCGTTAGTATCCCAGGTATTGCCCGGCAGGCGCCAGGACTATAAGAACCAGTTTGTTTATAGGACTTGTTGGTGAGCTGGAAAGAGGTGAGTTGAAATGAATGCATTGAAGAAAAACTGGATGAGTGATTGAATTGAGTTGAATTGACTTGAGTTGAATTGAATCGCATGAATGAGTGACAGAATGAACGGATAAAATGAAATGAAATGAAACTAAATGAAATGAAATGGAGTGAGTGAGTGAGTGAATGACTGAAAGGAATAAAGGGAGGAATAAAGGGAGGAATGAGTGTATGAATGAATGAATACATGAAAGGAATGAATGAATGAATGAATGAATGAACGAATGAATGAATCAGCGGATGAATGAATGAAAGGAATGAATGAATGATTGAGTGAGTGAATGAATAAAGAAGAGAGTGTGACGAATAGGGGCCCAATTTCTATGGGTTTGTGTTGTCTATATTCATTGCATGTTGTTTTCAAAAGAATTTTTGTGTTTAATGTTGTTTACTTTGTGTCTGCTACATTCCTATTAGATACTTTATTTGGTTCTTGTTTCATCTAGTTCAGTAAAGCGTTTGTCAAATAGTATAGTAGGACGGGAGGTAGGGTCGAAATCCTTTGTTTGTAATTAAATTGTTCTTGCAATGGTTTTTGCACAGCTGCTTGGAAATAAACATGGCAAGGAGCAAGCTCAATATCTATACATATAGTTGTCGGTGTCTATGTGTTGACAATACCTAATGGCCTAATGCTTAGTACAATAGGAAAACAAAATATTTTTGCAAAGGCAGATCCCCTTTTGACATCACAGTAGCCAGATAATTGCAAATGCTGTTGTTTAGCTGTATTGATTAGATTGGTGGTTTTTACATGCGCAACTGAAGTTTAGACTTCACAAAACATTATGTGAAATGCAAGCAGTTGCACTTGCAAAGGATGTAAGTATTAAGGGTTGAAAGTCAACACCTCACAATAACTATCCAATATAAACCAACGTGATTGAAATTGATTAGAATGACCATCTAAAAGATTGAAATGAAAAGAAATATACAGTAATGGCAGCACATATCTTAATGACTCTATCAAGTTCTGTAGTCAAGTGAATATGATATCACAAGTTAATAGTAGCCATGGAGGGGCATGCAGCAAATGACTCTTCTCACTTCTCACAGGGAAAAAACAAATGAAATATGCAAGCTTACTTTTTCCAATCACCATAGAAAAACAACAAGGTAAAATCAATCCCACATGCACGAGCAGAGATCAGCTTCAATCCAATATGTAGCAGGACCATTCCATAAGTTCAAAGTTTAAGATAGGAACCGTTGGAAGAATTCCTTGTATGCATGCCATTTTTGTCAAACTGAAAGTGGCATTAACTTGTAACTGTCTCTCTCAACAAACCAACATTGCAAACAAGCAGAGAGCTTGGAAATAATGTCAAATACAAGCAATGCATTACACGTCATCATACTATTCGAACTGCATATAACTATCATTGGGGATATGATTGCGACATGGTAAGTTATAGAATTTGTATTGGTTATCATGGGAGCAAAATTTCTGAAATTCCTGATCGATGCTTAGCCTAAATAGTGATAGCTTGTAGCTGCACTAGTACAAGATATATCCAAGGGTATGCCTATATTCAGCCATGCTAGGAGCAGACCTAGATACAAAAACGGGGTTAGAGCAAAGCTCGTGCTAAAGCCTTTTTCCCATAAAAATAATGGAAAATTACGTGTTTTTGAAGGGTATTCTTAGTTGAAATTATTGTAAAAGGGGTTGTCCTGGCTTTCTCTGGCACTATTCTGCGCTCCTTGATCGGATCAAGAAGATAGTAGCAGTCAGCAGTCCAAAGAATTGTCCGTACGCAAAGTATTGAACTTGGAATCTCTCCCTGCTCTCTTAACGGTGACCCAAGTGACTGCCTTAGTGTCGATGGCTTCATTTCTCTATGGCCCCCTGCCCAGCCAGTTCCAGGGAAAAGTTGGTGCAGATCTGCATGGTCAAGGCTGGTGCGGCTGGTGCATTGAAACATGGTGCATTGCGAGTTTTTGGTGCCCGACTGGCTGCAAAAAACGAGGTACAGGAGTAAAACATGAGTAAAACAATGAACTTACCCAACCGAGGATTTACATGTTCAAAACTTTAAACACCACTGGATCACTATAGAAAAACACTGTTTATGCATGTGGGCCCAGGGCATACAGATTCTTGGTATTCAGCGGTCCATTTTGAGGTCAAACAAAAACCACTGATTGACCAACAATTGGATCTCTGACGTCCAACCATCATGTAAATGGTTTAGTACCCGATCTGGTTGGTGGTTTTAACCATCTTGAAAAATATGAAAGTCAATGGAAAGGATTATCCCATATATTATGGAAAATACAATTCATGTTTGAAACTACCAACCAGCGATGACTGTTGGTAAGATCCTCCGTCTTTGTTGGTTAAACTCTATTTCTTGCCGAATCACATCACAATCTTAGCTGACAAAATCTGTTGAATCGGAACTTCTGTTGGTTAAACTCCACACAAATTGCTTGCTTTGGTCCTCATTTTGACGGAAGTTTTAGCTGATGCGTCTAGCTCGCAACCAATATTCTATTACATCATATATGAAAGCCTAACTAACCTTCACCTGTTGGTTTGCCCATGTTTATCCAGCAAACACCTAAATGAGCATATGGTCATGGCTCAAAGAAGGGGTAGGCATCAATGGACCGGCAACATTACTCACATTCAGTACTCAGACATCCATTTTGGAAGTCGTCAATTTTGAACCATGGCCGGTATGGTGCGTATTTATTCATAAACCCTTGAAAACAAATTTTGATTGCTGAACTACACCTAAATACCAGAATCTCATTGCTCCTCACTAACCCCAAAAAATCTCGGTCTATCATATGGTTGGGAACCTCTATTCGTAGCTCCAGCTGGCTCCCCATATATTTTTTGTGGAATATGGAGACCCCTAGCTCCGAATCGCTCCCTCCGAATCACTGGATGGTGGTTAAACCTCCATTTTTCATGGGTGACCTCCCATCACGAACCAGGAAAACGCCGCACCTCTGCGATGCTTTTGATGGCCGTGATCGACAGCTCATTGGCTTCGCACATTTCCTGGTCTCGGGGCTCTGCCGCGGTGAATTTCAAGCTTTGTGGGTAGACCTCTAATGAAGAATCCACTGTCACAAGAGTTTGTTCTGAATGTAGGCTGCCAAACATCTCTTGCAAAAAGATGTCTTTCTTTCGGGAGTTCTTCCAGGTTTTGATCTTATCCAGATTAATCTTGACTAATGCTGATGGATCCAGTTGATCACTTTCTACATTTTGGCTCTAGTTCTCAGTTCTGGCCTTCTTGCCTCCTTCTGCTTCTTCTTCCATTCCAACATTCCGCGTCTTCTCCCCCAAAACTAGCGAATACTATGGTAAAATCAAGTGCTAAGAGTTGAAACCAACGAAAACAATTTTGTAGACCTATTCTTTTAGCATGGGAACATTTTGTGAACATGTGCTGTTTCAATGGGTATTGTAGTGTAAAACCATGGTATTGTAAGAATGATTTTGCTAGCACCAATCAGGAATTTGCCCAACAAGAAATGGCAATTCAAGCAGGAAAAACCATGGAATTTGACCAACACAAATTTGTTATGCCATGAAGTTTAGGCCTTCGCTGCAACGAATGATGGAGCAGTTTGTTGCAGGATACACAGAGCATCTATATGGTAATCCCAGTTAATCCTATCCATGATCACAATGGTTGTTCAATGGGAATTTACACGGATTTACTCGGCAATAGCTGGGTTTGAATGGTGATTTTTCATGGGAGACTGGCCCTGTAGTTGGACATCCTTGATTCTTATCTGGTTGGTGAAAACGGGCAATCCCATTTCATGGATTGCGACTGCTCAGCGACAATCCCCAAGATATGATGGGTACAATCGGGTACAGGTAGGTTAATAACCTCCAATCATAATCTATAATCATCTATACCCTCTGGTAAACTAACGTAACTATGGGAAATCACCATTTTCCAGCTGGGTAAATCCACTATTCCTATGGTCATTTTCAATAGCTATGTTAAATCACCAGAGTGTAATCATGAACCAACACTAGAGTTTTTGAAACTGCTCATGGGGATCCACATCAGTCGTCCTGTGTGCGTTTGTCGACGTAGGGGCCAAATAACAAGCCTCAGTGGGATCAGAGAGTTTGCTACTCTGTTATAATTATGTCATGATCTAACCTAGCTGGCTAATAGTGGCTAATAGTGGTTAATAGTGGTTAATAGTGGTTAATAGTGGTTAATAGTGGTTAATAGTGGTTATTGAGATACTGAAATCTCAAGATTATTTATTGCATGTCACAATCATATCTGGTTGGTGGTTGACCTACCCCTCTGAAAAATATGAGTTCGTCAATGGGAAGGATGGCATCCCATATATGAAATGGAAAATACAATTTATGTTTGAAACCACCACCCAGATATAATCTAACCTAGCTGGCTGGGAAATCCCCTATCTATTTCGTCAAGAATAGGCCGACGTGGTTTCCATTTAAACACAAGGGTTTCCCATTGCCAGATTTGCGAAAGGGCATGCCCGGAACTGGAACCAAAGGAAAACATACCCCCCAACATCCCCCAACTTCAGTGACCCAAACTCTCGTCATTTTGCAATTACAAAAGGTGGATCTAATCTACCAACCTCAAACAGGCTGATCTGAGAATAATTCCCCCAAAAGGATCCAAAAGGGCCATCATACTTGTTGAAGGTAACACATTCAGCCCTCGGAAATGCACATGGCTGGTAAGATACAAATCTCGCTGTTTCGACAACACTAAGTTTGTATCTACTGGTCTCCAATAATAATTAGTAATGCAACTACTCAATGCTTGACAGGTGCCGTTTTTCCGTATTTTTTCGATCGGCAAAGGCTTCCCCTTTCCGCAAGTCACCGCCTTGGGTGTCCGTACAGAAGGCATTGACCATAGGATCAACCTCGCTGCTGGGTGCGGCACCAGGAATCGCAGCTCCCAGTGACTTTGAAAAGAAGAATCACCTTCCAAGCTCCAAAGTTCCATAATCCCTGCCCCGGTTCATACTAAACACCCATGGTGTAGTAAGTTATTTTCAAAGAATTTGGGACCATTTTGGGGCTGTTTTGATATCTGGGGGATGGGATTCCTTGCCAGTGGAATTTTGGGGTCAGTAAATAAGACCCGACCGCCGAATTTGACGTCAAGGTTTAGGAGCTTCACCATGAACATATTGGGGCGCCCAATTATGTCCAATATTATTAGGCTTTTCAGATGATATGTGGATACCTATATACTATGGGTTAATATTACATCCAATTCCTAAGTTTAGTTTTGATGAATTACCGACCATCCTTTGATCAAACATGGCAATTGAACATCCACCATTGAAAGATGATTTTCCCAGATAGAAACCTCCATTATAGATAACTTTCCATTGCCACGTTTTATAACCAGAGGGCTAAGTTACTTGGCCAATGACTTTAGGTAAAAGTTGATAGTTAGGTACATCAATTCCATACCCTCTAGAATTGACCATGGAAGGGAATTGATGTACCTAACATGACCTAACTACAGAAACTAAATCAATCTACAGTTGACGAAATTCCATACAGCAACACTTGGCCAATGACTTTAGGTAAATTGTGATAGTTAGGTCAGTTACGTACATCAATTCCATTCCATAATCAACTATAGTCAACCATAGCTTGCGTCCCGGTGCCATCCTCCATCCCTCGCCATCCTCGATCCCAGTACCACATCCGCAACGGCGTTTGTCGAGCTACATCAATTCCAGTCCAAGCGTTTGCTACGCGACACTGGCGACCTGAGGCAAAGCATGGTGCCTACGATACGAAGTTGGGAAGTTGGTTTATAAGTAGAGCTTAGCTTAGGTTTAGTGTAGATATAAAATTTATACAATGTGAGGCCCCCGTTCGATAGCTAAGTTGGTGAACATAACTCCAATAACTATGGTTTATGGTACTTATAACGAACTAGTTACTGGGGCTTCTAAACCAACTTATAACTGGGGGGCCTCACAGTGTAGAGTTAGAATCATTTAAATCAAAAAAACAATTTGGAGGCCCTCTTTGTAGGGTGTATAGTGTAGGACATGCAAAAAAGTGGCAAGCTCAAGAATATCCCTCCAATTGGGGATGGTTCAATGCTCAACCATTTCCAAATGAGGATGCCTTACTTTCGGGTAAAAATCAACATTTTTGGCAACGTTCACATCTTGGAAACTCGGGTGGTTTCCTGGGATTCTTTGAAGAACGGTTCTGTGAAGACCAGAGTCACTGTAAAGGTAACAACCACCAGGGACAATTTCCATGTCCTTTTGGATTTTTTAACAATAGAATTTTCATCAGGGATGGTTCGGACTATACTTAATTATTGTATATCAATTCAGGCTGTGATCTAAAGTAAACGGCTAAATCCGAATGTTGGCAGTGGTCAAATTATGGGACATGGAAAACCACGATTTTCAGTGTCATCCGAAGTGCTATGGTGGTTCCCGCTATTGTGGGAGATTCCTAGCCATGATGTTTGTTGAGGATATGGTGTCTGAACATGCGGTATACTGCCACACGGTAATTTTTTATGAGGAACATATCTGACAATCATTTAACCATCAAACATAATATATGGGCCATGGGGAATACATGAAGGGAATATATGGGAAGTATGGGGAATATTAAGATTATGATTATGATATAATTGACAAATGATATGATTCACCAACTTCGGGGTCCCCCTTTTGGGAAACAAAGCCGGGGGAAACTGTATCGCTGGCGCCGATAGTTGACATTGTCAGATTCAGAGTCAGTATCGGTGGGGAGTTTATCCCACTTCAGCGCAAAAAAGCAAACTCCGGTGTGCTTGCTGTGGGCAATGGTGTATTTCTCCGACGTGGTGACTATGCCACAGCCACGAACCTTCAATTGAGCCATTTCGTTCCCTCAGATTTAAAGCTTAAATGCGGGTCTTTGCCACGAAAAAGGGCTCCAATTAGCACCGGTAATTGTCCTTTCCCTTTCTTGGAAGCTCTGTCCAACAAGTCTCGGGCCGCCCAGCCTGGGAATGAGTTTGACCTACCGGTCTCAAGTCCCAAGAAGTATTCTCCAAAGGTGGGCACATGACATCGGCGCGGATCTTGATGATAGACCCAATCAGCCGGACGAATAATCCCTTCCAGCAAGATACTCTGGGCACCAAGAACTGCAGAAACCCGCCCAACATCATGTGAAACGTGCTCATAGGCATCCCATAGCTACTATGGTTATCTAGATTCTTCACGATAGATAACCATAGAGTACATATATCAATATTTCTTAAATTTATCCCATAGTTGACATGTTACAATCCAATTATAGTTATGTCACCAACTATAGCAGTAGTTATATATTCTTTATAAATACAAAATTATCTAGTTTATATCCCATAATCCAATGGTTTATCATCATTTGTTCCCTTCTCTCATACATACATATAGTTATAAACAATAGATAATATATAATAAATATATACATATATACAGCATAGTTGTCTACAGTTATAGTTATAGTTATCCGATAATCATACGTCTAGTTTTCCTAGTATAGTACATAATTATAGCACCCGTTAAACCATAGCTATCTATAATCCATACCATATCATATAGTTTAACTATAGTTATATCCCCCACTAGTAATAGTTATATATATATATACTATATATACTAGTCTACTTATGTATATGTATATATATATATATATGTGTACTATCTACACCATAGATAGTAGCTTAGAAAATATATACCATAGTTATCCCTTAGACTAGATTTCAATGCCAATCTTAGATACCCTGCAAAACAAAATTTGAAGGGTTAATAGATAATCCCTTTGACACCAAAAGACTAAAAGATTAGTTTCTACCCACCCGAGATTGATCAATTCCAAAGATTAAATGATTACCTGGTTGGTGGTTTCAACCATCTTGAAAAATATGAGTTCGTCAATGGGAAGGATTATCCCATATATTAGGGAACATTAAAATCATGTTTGCAACCAACAACCAGGTATTAATGTTGATTTACCTATTAAAAACATCGTGTTTTTCCCTCGTTTTCCGTATTAAATGATACTAAAGATTGATTAGACTATAATATGGGGACCCATAGTTAGATAAGGTGGTTTATAACTATAATAACCATAGTGTATGGTACTTATGACAATATTTAAATGGGGTTATAAACCAACTTATAACTGAAGGGCCCATCCTGTACCCATAGGATTAAACTACCCCTTTGATTTTCTTCCTCTGGTGGTGCAAGAAATCTTCAGGTCGGTGCAATGACCACGGCATTCGCTGTTGCCAGGGATGATCTCTCGACCTGCGAAATTTTCTGAAGAAACCATGGGACAAATGTAGACAACTAGGGGAAAATCATAGAAAAATATGGGAAAATCAGAGGAACACATGGAACATATGGAAAAATCATAGGAACATCATAGGAAAATATGGGAACATCATAGGACAACATGGCAACATGGAACAACTATGGGAAAACCATAGGGAAAACATGGAACAACTATTGGAAAATCTTAGGAACACATGGGACAATCATAGGAACATATGGGACAATCATAGGAACATATGGGACAATCATAGGAACATATGGGACAATCATAGAAAACTATATGGGAAAATCCTTAGAAAATACCAAAAAATATCCAAACTAGATAGTTTATAACTGGGAGAATCATCTATAATCGTGCCACTATCTTGGTAATATGTTTACATTTCTGCACATTTCTATCTTTCTTTCTGCTTCTGCTGCTTACTCTATTCGCAAAACCATCCAATCAGTGACACATCTTTTGCACTGTAGGGATATGGTCTGAGAAATGATGCATCCATTGGTGATCACCAATCTCTACGAATTTTTGCGGCACCACATCGCCAGCCAGCACCAAGGGCACATCAACCGCCCATCCCCCTGGACCTAGGCAAGTGGTGTGGATGGCATGACCACAGGGCGGTACAAAGATCTTTGGCACCTCAGTGGCGGTTGGGGGAGTTAAGTGTCGCCACATGGCACCATCGCCACAGTTGCCACCCATGGGAAAATCATGGACTTTAATTGGAAGTGGGATATTAACCAACCACCAATGGGAAGCTCATTAGGATATAATGGGACGAGCCATGGGATATCTACATGTTTCTATCTACAGTATATCTGATGGTTTCAATATGTTTCAATCCATCTAACATCATCTAACATCATCTAACTTAAATTAATGACAGTCATTGGGATCATCCCAAATTCATATTGGTAAACGGTAACGGTAAACGTTGAAATTACCATTTGGTTATTTAACATAGCCATGGAAAATCCCTGAACTAAATGGAGATTTCTAGCTGGGAAAATCATCTATTTCTATGGGCCATGGCTTCCACCATCTATACCATGGCGAACTGTTAGCCATACCCAGACGGTACATATTTTTTGACCACCAAGAAATTGTGAAAAACAAAAGGGGCCGAATCAAGGAGGCGAAAAAATGTTTTTCAGCTTTCCAACAGAAACAGGTCGGACCGGGACGTCCAAGTTTTTCATAACTGGTTGGTGGTTGACCTGCCCGAAATATATGGTGATTGTATGGTTTAATATGGTGCAAAATCCCATTGATGAATATACTTCGTTACTTAGCTGGTTGGTGGTTGACCTACCCCTCTGAAAAATATTAGGAAAAATCGGGATGACGAAATTCCCAACTGAATGGAAAAAAAAACATGTTTCAAACCACCAACTGGATAATGATTCATTGGTCGTATGTGTTGATTCTTCGAACTGGCCCGCCCTTTTGACAGCACTTGTGAACCCGGGCTCCCCACCAACC